CCCTCTCTATTTTCCTCCATACCCAAATCTCTAAAAAAGGGGCTGCAACGGATCTGATAAAAACTGATCCAGATTTGAACACTGTCCTGACGTCAGGACGGTGGCGCTACGGCTATTGGGCCAACTCCCCCAATCAGGAGGAGACAGCCACGGCCATTGCCATTCGAAAGCGCTGGAGACGCTGTAGTACATATGCCAGGCCTCTAGATGGTGCTGTTCTCACAGAATCAGCCCTTGCAAAAACAGAGCTAAAAAATGTCAAATTGAGCAAAATGAGGCATGGCTAAAATGCATGATCTGTTTGGTATTTTGAAAAACATTTTTTTAAATATGCCTTATATAGGTATGGTCCTACACTATATTATTCAAATATAGCATGATAGGTCCACTTTAAGTAAAAGTAAAGAAGTGGTATCAGCTAAATGTCCTTCTCGCGACTTTGAGCACCTGTAAAAGCGCTTACAAATAAATGTATTATTATTATTTCAGTATCAAAAGTAAAAGTAGTCATTATGCAGAATTGCTCTTTTAAAGGGGCAGTATTAGAAAACCATATCCAAGAACGGCACTGAATGTTGGCATTTCAATTGGCAAGAAGTTCCTAGTAGCTTGCATGTTGACGTCCATAAACAGACAGACAGAGACAGGACTCTCTTTTTGAGACTAAGCAGCCATCATCAGTTTGTTAGTCTGCTCAATATCGGAGCCAAACTAATTAAATGTGGATTCAGAGAAATCTTGGCTGAAGACGACATTTCAGTCGACGGCCAGCAATCTCAATCCAATTCTGTTTCGTAAACACGTGTTTTGGCTATAGAGCAAAACGTGGATAGATAAAATTATGAAATGGTCCCAGAATAACTAACTCTACAAAATCTCTCAGATCAACAGAGGTGGGAGAAATACTCACATCTTGTACTTGAGTAAAAGTAGAAGTACTCAGATCTTGTTCTTGAGTAAAAGCAGAAGTACTCAGATCTTGTATTTGAGTAAAAGTAGAAGTACTCAGATCTTGTTCTTGAGTAAAAGTAGAAGTACTCAGATGTTGTACTTGAGTAAAAGTAGAAGTACTCAGATCTTGTACTTGAGTAATAGTAGAAGGACTCAGATCTTGTACTTGAGTAAAAGTAGAAGTACTCAGATCTTGTATAGTAAAAGTAGAAGTACCAGAGTGTAGGAATACTCTGGTACAGTAAAAGTCCTGCATTCAAAATGTTCCTCAAGTAAAAGTAGAAAAGTATTATCATCAAAATATAGTGAAAGTAGCCACAGTAAAAGTAGTCATTGTGCAGATTGGTCCATTTCAGAATAATATATATGATATGTTTTATAATGATTGATCATGAAAGTGTTCTCAAAGCTGGTAAAGGTGCAGCTAGTTTGAATGACTTTGTATACTGCAGGGTAGCTTGTGAATTTACTCCAGGTGGAACTAAAGTCTGATTTAACACTTGATTATATTTCACATCATTCATCCACATTTGTAAAGTAACTAAAGGTATTAAACACACTAGCCAAAGACCCCTTTATAGATTTGGAAATAGACCCTTTCTTTCCTTAACGGTTGGCCACACATGTACCAAGTAGCTCACAGTGTTCATCTTACTCTCATTTCTGACAGCCACTCTGTTCAGAAACCGTTCACAGCGTCTCTCTGACCTTTGCTAAGACTACACAACATCGTGCAAAAGGCTGATGTTAAAATCTATAAATGACATGCGGTCGAGGTTTTGTTCCATTCAACAAAACACAACTCTAAAATGATTGAGTTCAACTGAGCAGCACTTCAGGGACATGCTGAGGTAACAATCTGTTGTTGTGAGTGATTTGGTTTTAAAGCCTGAATGAACCCAGGACCCAACGCTGTGAGATTATCAGCCTCCACACATCCTGTCCATTCACTCAGCAGTACATTATGAATGGTGAGTGCCTTCACTGAGTCATAGGGTTAGACATCGCATAAGGGCTTCATGTTATCACTTCTGAATGGTGCAAAACATCAACATGGAAGACAGAGCTAGCACCTTGTAAGCTTTTGGGATTCTTTAATAAATCATTTCTGCCTTTGTGGTTGACCAGTAGCTGCTGTCGTAAAATGATTATCAGAAACACGAACACGAGACATTCATTGACAGAAAAATGGCTGATGTACAACTGACACACACGCAGTGTTCGTGCAATGGTTGATAGGATCTTTCCTGTCATGTAGCATCCATGCTAACAACAGTCCCTCCTCAGGAGCTTCAGCCTCTTGTGAAAGACCTCGTTGACCAGTCGGTGGTCCGCAGTGTGGAAAGGAAGTAAAGGTGTGACTTTTAATGTGCACCAGTTCATAAATGTATCGTCTAATGCCCAACTAGCACTTCTGGACTGATTGGTTCTACTTTTTAGTGAACTTTGTACACCTTTAGCATCATTCTTCCAATGTGAAAGGTACACCGAAACGACTTCAGCACGGTTTATATCGTAAATGTAAACAAAGCTACTTGATTAGATTTAGGGAATACTCATGTTTTGGGTAAAATAAGTACTTTTGTAATGTAGTTTAAGGTACGTACGAAAATTAAGTATGTTATATGTGATGCAAGTTAACTTACGTACACTGTAAGGTTATTTTGGCATTCTCTCAACGTCTGCCTGAACTTGAAAGGCAGGAGAACAGAGGACGCATCGCACAACTCATTTCCTTTCCTTGTCTTAATTTAAGCCTTGTTAACAGTTCTTGAATTACTGTAAGTAGACGAATCAATTCTTGGAAGGTTATTTCTAGTTGAAAACCAAACGCATCTCTGAGGCCTCACATACGCCGATGCCATCCTTTCCCTGTAGAGATAATGTGTAGTATATATATATGTATTTTATCCCCTTTTTCTTTTACAAACTCCTGCTTTAATTTCTTATGTTTATATGCTTGATTGTATTTCATTTTATGTTAACCCTTAAAGGAGCAGCTGTCACAAAACCCTCTTTCCCCCGAGATAAATAAAGTGTTCTGATTCTGATCTGAGATATTATGATAAGGTGTTTACTCTCCGCTGCAGTGAGATTTATTGGGAATATGATCAGAGTTTACTACAAACCCCAACATGCATGACGTTATGGAGGCAGATGTAGACGTTTGATATCAAGCATTTCTATAAACCTGAGAGGTCAGAGAGGTCAGAGTGCTTCTTCTTCTGCTTCTTCTGCTTCTTCTTCCCTGATACGATCAGCAGGGTTTTAAAACAAAAAGACTCTTCATCATGTTCACTCAAAATGTTTTGCATCAGGAGGCCGGAGTTTCCAAACTTCTGCCAAAAGCCTTTTTGTGAGTTCATGTGACTTTTCTCAGAAATAAATCCTCTTAATTTCACAAAAGAACCAGAGCATTAAAAGCACCGTGATCCTTTTTGTTAATCCAGTTCTTTGTTTGTGTTTTAAGCGAGTAAAAATAATAACTCCTGAACAGAAATACGCATTTTGGACGAGGCACAATCAGCGCTAAGTACATTAGCATGCATCGCTAAAAATAATAGCAGCAAAAGACACATTAGTACCTGCAGCAGCCAGGAATAACCACAGTGGATTCAGATGTACTTAGAGTAGGCGTTAATGACCATTAAAACAAATAAAATGACCCTATTAAAAGTTGTTTTCTGAAATATATAATGACTGAATAAACCTCAGACTGAATTGTTTCTTAGATGAGACGGACGAATGCACTTTTGTGGCTCAAAGAGAAACCGTAGATTCATGTTTTTAGTTATTATTAAATTGCAAATGCTAATAAATACAAATGTGTTGTGAAGGTACAGTAATGTTTCTCAGTTTTCTTTTAACTCTGGTGCATTATGCTCATGCTACAAAAAGAAATTAATAATGATAAATATGAAGAAGTGAACGGATCAAATTGAAAATGGCATAAATCATGACCTCTGATTGTAAAAATGTAAATACTGCGCCCTAAATCAGATGGATTTTGGTCAATTGAGGTGCTATTTCCTTCTCATTTGAAGTGTTTATCCAATAGGAAAAGCAGCTCTAAGTGCTCAAAGTTCAGCCGTACAAAGAAAGCACATAATCCGTTTGTATTTGGATGTAATCAATGCTGCAAAAAGTGGAACACACTCCTGCTGAGGAGAAGAGTGGAAGTGTGTGTGTGCCAGGAAGCATCATTTAGGCCCAAAACACAACTGTCAATCAGAGCAGAAAGTGTCTCAAAGAGCTGCAAATGTCCAATAAGTCATTAACTGAAGGCGTAGTGAATAATACGTGTAATTATCAAGCAGTATACGGCAGGCACTGCGTATTAAAACTCTGTGTAGATGGAGATTTGTATATAATTACGCATGTCTAATGCTTCAAAGTAGGCCTACATGGTATCTATCATTGCCAGAAAAGTCAGTTTGATAATGAAAATGACTTTATTCCAATCATTCTTGAGTTTTGATCAGAAGTTAGTCAAATATGCCGTGTTTAAAATATCTTAACTGGCTGTGTGAAAGTAGAGCATGTAAATAAAACACATTTTTCATTGATTTTGGTTCATTGTGATATTCAGAAACACGTCTTTTAAAGGTAGGGTAGGTAAGTTTGAGAAACCGGCTCGAGATACACTGTTATATTCCATGGAATGCTCTTAACATCCCGATAGCAATGAATATCTGAAGTGCTTTGACAAAATATCCATAAAAAAATGTCATCTGTGGAAGCTGTAGTACTGTAAAAAGCACGACCAATCATCTGAGCCGGCCCGGCTAAAATAACTGGATGGCCTACCTGCCTGTCAGCCTTCCATCTGTGCACAAACTTATCTCGTGCCCTCATTGGTCATGTGCGCGTTCGTGTGTGTTGGAGGAGGGGCTCTGTAAGGAAGTGGCAGATTTTCTCCGGTTGTGTATTTTCAAATTCTAGCGATCTCGAGCTGGTTTCTCAAACTTACCTACCCCACCTTTAATCATTTTTTTAAAATAGACTCTTACCCAACCTTTCACTAAATCTTTTTTCCCTTTAACACTTAATATTTCAAACATACTCCGTTTTTTATTTTGCAATACATCCAACATTTGTGATGGTTTTGGCAACATGCAAATACTTTTCTCATTTGTTTCATTCAAGATGCATAGATGATGGTGAACAGAGAACAGAGAACATACATAACAAATAAAAACACCATGTATGTGTTTCACAAATCTGTGTACATATATTTGCATTTACACGACAGTTGTGGTACTCGGTGACACATTGCAGTACACAAGTTTCTGTGTTTACTTTACAGTATCTTTTTGTATTGCACACGCTCAATATGTTGTGTGTATGTCAGTGTGTAGTGGAGTGTCCTGTGCCCCTGACTCATTAATAACACACACTATTGATAAGCCATTTGTAAAGAAGACCGCAGATAAACAGCATCAAATTAAAAAGCGTTTGATTTTAATGTAAAACGACTAAAAGCTGTGAACAACACGCAGCTCACAGTGAGTTCAAGCTGCCCTGTTAGACTTACTGTATCCTTTATAAAATGTGTTTTTGTCACAGTTTCCTCACACACACAGTCTCAGAGTGCCCCCTGGTGGTCAAACGATGAAATGCCCTCTGATGCAACAGGTGTGTAAAACATCCAACATGTGTATTAATGTTCATTTGACCTTATTTTTTCAGAGTTAATTCTGTGACACAGCGTTCCCTCGAGCCTCAGCGATGATTTCGTCCCCAGATCTGTCACTAAGAGGAAGTCAATCGCTGGGGATTCTGGGTAATGGAGTTCCTCAGTGTGTCTAAAACATCCAACATGTGTATTAATGTTGATTTGGCTTTTTCACCCTTATTATTATTTTTTGTTACTTCAGCAAAACAGCGTTCCCTCAAGGCTCAGCGATGATTTCGTCCCCAAATGTGTCACTAAACAGGAAGTCAATCGCTGGGGATTCTGGGTAATGGAGTTCCTAACTGTTTGTAAAACATCCAACATGTGTATTAATGTTCATTTAACCTTATTTTTTCAGAGTTAATTCTGTGACACAGCGTTCCCTCGAACCTCAGCGATGATTTCGTCCCCAGATCTGTCACTATAACAAGGAAGTAAACTGCTGGGGATTCTGGGTAATGTAGTTCCTCACATGTGTATTATTTTCATTTGGCTCTTTCACCCTTATTTTTTGTTAGTTACTTCAGCAAGACAGCGTTCCCTTGAGCCCCAACGACGATTTGGTCCCCAGATCTGTCACTGTAACGAGGAAGTAAACCGCTGGGGATTCTGGGTAATGGAGTTCCTCACTGCCTCCTGCTGTTCAGGATGGCCCTCCAATCGTCGGCCCATGAGAGGAGTCTCTTCTGGGGGGGGCTGAGGTGCTTGTTGTGGCAGGCGGTGAACAGGATGTGCTCCCACGTGGGATCTGGATCCACACCTGACAGGAGACACGTTAGGTGAGTAGGTGAGTGACACACACACACACACACACACACACACACACGTTTTTACGCCTGATTATTTTTATCTGACTGTAAACTCCTCGCAGCTGCAGCAGATTCTGACTCACGCTGAAGCAGCTGCCTGATAACGTGTCGTTGAGGATGTGAGGAGGATGGTGTAAATAATCAAAACCCCCACATGCCGAAACACGAGCGGGAGAATAACAAATATAATCCTCTGCCTTCTCCTTAATTTAATCCTTATTTTAATGATATTTTTTGTAAAATAGTTCCTTTTTCATTATTTTGGACAACTATATTTAGACACTATATGTCTTCCTTAGTGTTGATATTTATATATTTAATGTTCTATTTGTATTTATAATATGTCTAACTCATGTGTAATGCATTTTAACACAAAAAATATGAAAAAAATGGGATAAGTAAAGTTTGTCTAATTTAATCTGATTAAAACTCAGCCATTCAATATCTCTTTTTGCTTAAATCTCTCCTATAAAAGCAGAAGAAAGCGTGACATGTGATCTGATGACACACATTACTTAAATTAGGGGATTATTTAAAGCGTTATTACGTCATAAGATATGACAAAAGACAATTAAAGATTTGTTAAAAACTCTAATAAGAAGCTTCATACGTACAAAAACAGATATTGGGTTCAATACAAAAAGTCAATTTGTCTGATTGTTAATTAACATAATTTTAAATAAGTGTTTTGTTTAGATAATGGGATAACATTGCACACGTGCTTTCAAACAAACATGCGTACTGTACTCGTTAAAATGTCCCCAAACTGTCAGTCCCCAAACCGCTGTCCTCACCTAGGATATCGGGCTTGTCGTCAATCAGGATGTCTCCGCTGATAACCGTCTTGTCTCGTGTCAGAATGACCTGCTCCAGAAAGCCCTGACCTAAGTGCTGCTCCACCCAGGCATACTGTGCCGCACACACACACACACACACACACACACACACACACACACACACACACACACGCACACACACACACACACACACACACCACACACACACACACACACACATCACCACACACACACACACACCCAGCCCACACCCACACACACTACACACCAATCACAGCACACACACACACACACACACACACACACACACACACACACACACACACACACACACACACACACACACACACACACACACACACCACACACACACACACACCACACACACACACACACACCACACACACACACAACCACACGAGATGTCATTAAGAAAAAAGGAACTCATTTTAAGGGAACACAGAATATGTTGTTTTGCACACGGCTCACTCACCTTCTCATAGGGACAGTGTTGGATGTGGTTTATAGGGCTGGTGCAAATAAAGACATCTGTGCTGCAGAAAGGAAGCAGAGAGGAGACATTAAAGGAACACTTTTCAAACTGTGTACACATGACAGTGGAGGCAATAGTTATTCTGGAGACAGTGGAAACTAAAGTGCAACACATCGATTCAGACACATTCATTTCCATCAGCAGAGGAAAAGTTCATCACTACAATATGGAGGTTATTTTTAGAGCGCTGTGTTGTGTGTTCTCTGAGAAAAGGCTATCACAGCCTCCTCCACGTTGACTCACTTTACACTTAAATTAATCAAAGAGGCCATGATCGGATCAACTGAAGCACTAACAGGGCGTTGTGGAGCAGGAGTTGGGGTCATGACTCCCTGTAGAGGGTTTTCAGAGGACTGGAGATACTCATATTTGACATTTACCGTCTTTTTAGTGAAGGCAAAATATGTGAATATATATGTAAGTATTGTGGAGCTGCAGAGAAGACCCGGACCTCAAACTGTATTTTACAGAAAAAAAAAATCCCACCATGATCTTTTTAATATAGCTTTTAATGATAATGTGGATAATGTAAAAAATCTGGCAAATATTTATAATTAGTTATTTTTTCCAAATAGTGCAGCGCTATCTACATCAATAACTCAGTATAGACATAGAAACATAATATGTGGTGATAATTATCAACAAGAAATTACATATTGGTAAATTAAAAGTATAAACTAAGTGTCTAAAGCATAAAATAGCTGTATTTTTTCTCAAATTCGAAGCTTATTTTGAGATGTTCTCATGTCTCTTATCCAATTCTCTGATGTCTTTTATTAAAAAGGGTAAAATAATAGATGTCTTTCTTATTGCGGCTATATAACTGTAATTTAGGGAGCTGTAAGATTGCTGCTAGACTGTCCAGTTCATACGGGTGCATGCAGTTTTTTAAGAACAGTTAAAAAGTTGTTTTAAAGGGGACCTATCATGCAAAATGCACTTTCTGATGTCTTTTATACATCAACATGTGTCCCCGGTGTGTCAGGGAACTCACGCAGCGTCAGAAAATAAAACCCTCTCTCTTTTCCTCCGTACCCAAATCTCTAAAAACGGGGCTACAACGGAGCTGATCCAGATTTGCGTCCGATATGACGTAATATCTGAAATGTGGACCCACGGCCCTATCAGAAACGTTGCTATCAGAAACAATGCCCGACTGTTTTGGACGTAATATGGTCGGTGTTTACATTAGCATCGCTAACACTCAGAGCTAACCTGTACTGGAGAGCATGTGTGTGAAGAAGCAGGAAATAAAAAGGAACTCACCTTGTGGTATAACCGGCAAGAGAGAAAGCCTTTGAGCTCCATACTGTTTCAGAAACAATCCTTGATAATCCATGATATGGCATTTCATCACGGCAGTATTTAGTTTAGACAGTAGCTGCCGGGTCCCGCATGAGCTCAGACCCCTACATTTTTATTTTTAAAGCTTTATACCCCAAATCAGCACTTTTGAAACAGGAAGTGAAATAGAGGGATATGAGGCATGGCTAGAATGGGTGATCTGTTTGGTATTTTGAGCAAAACACTTCATAGACATGTTTTTTATATATTTTTATATATCTTAGACCTATGCTATTGCCTAAAAATAGCATGAGAGGTCCCCTTTAAAGGTAGAATAAAAACTAAATTGTGTTAAAGCAGAACGTTTTGTTGGGGATAAAAACGTGTGAATATTGGAATTTATTCCAGTTATCCTTTTTGTATAAATGTTCCCTTTGTGGCTTTTACAATTCATACAACTCATTGAAATAATAACTATGTTTGCAATTAGCTTTAATCTAACTCTAAATCTGTTAAGTGTTTTCATTGATATACATATTTCATTTTGTGTTGATATCTTTCCCGTTCAACAAAGAGAATGCTTTTGGACTTAAGGCATACTATAAGTTATGTTTCTTTGTTTTGTTATATTTGTAATATATGTAAAAACATGATAAATATCAATAAATATATAAAAATTCATATATTTTTTAAACGATTGACACTAGAATTGCCCTGGTAGTACAAAATGTACCCATTCTTTGGTATTAAATGAATACTTCTTCACTTTATTAATGCTTAATGCTCTCTTAATTGACTTTAAGTACTACATAACTACATGTTGACACCTACTTCTCCATCTGGGCCATCTCCCGGACCGCCTCCAGCCCCCCCGGCAGCGGCTCCAGCTCCATGAAGAAATCCTTGGACTCCCAGATACTGATGGCTTTCTCCTGCAGTAAAAAAACCCACAATCTCAGTCAGTGATAAGCTGGACATACAGTATGTTTCCACGTGAGGGACATGTGCCCTGACAGAAGATTGTTGAAAAGCTATTTCTATAGGTCAGCGAGACACTTCAATAAATAGAGAAGCGGCTAAAGCTCTACTGAAGGGTTCAATAATGACCCATCTGAGAAACAGGCTGGTGTTCGATTCACGCTTTCGTAAAATGTAGGTGCGATCCTTGTATTCAGGGGTGTTTCTAGAAAGATATAGTATGAGGTGATACTGTGGCGCTGATCTTGTATACAAGATATATCAATTCTGATCATCTTGTAAGTGTGTGGAAGGTGATTCAGGGTCGGCAAACTTTGACCATACCCTTTAACCTGCAGGGTTAAATATTACTTAAATGTGTGGGAACCGGTATAGACTGGATTAACGTCTAACCTCGTGCAGAATCAGATTGAATACTACAGTGTACAAATACTTTGTGACAAGTCAAAAGTCCTGCATACAAAATATGACTTGAGTAAAAGTACTGAAAGTATTGGCATAAAAATGTACTGAAATTACTTGTGGGAAGTATAAAGAAGCATACACTACGCTTGTATTGGCTAGCGCTCCAACCCATTGTACTGATATATCTAACCGGTTGACCAATCAGAGCAGACTGGGCTCTGGTTTCAGACAGAGGGTGAAAAGAGGTGCTGCAGCACAGGCAGTATGAGAAAAATAAAGAGCTTTTTGAACATTAAAGCATGGAGACATGTCCCAGTAGAGACACTACATACTGATATACACCTGAACATCAGCAGGAGAGGACTCTTTAAGGTAGAGACACTACATACTGATATACACCTGAACATCAGCAGGAGAGGACTCTTTAAAGTGGAGACACTACATACTGATATACACCTGAACATCAGCAGGAGAGGACTCTTTAAAGTAGAGAAACTACATACTGATATACACCTGAACATCAGCAGGAGAGGACTCTTTAAAGTAGAGACACTACATACTGATATACACCTGAACATCAGCAGGAGAGGACTCTTTAAAGTACAGTAATTGAGTAATGTACACACAGGTCACCCTGCAGCTGCCACGTTTGATTCTAATAGTTTGCAAATTGTATGTATTCTGGTTTTAAAAACTCTGATGAAATTACTTATGTTACTGGGGACCCTGGGGAACAAATTCAAGTGCATTTGGCTAATGAAAGTGCTGTAAATGTGAGTTTATTCAACCTAAACATTACAGTTATTACATGTTTACATGCCACTTACACACAGATCACTCCGCAGCTGGCCGTACTGTGTGGACACCCAGAAGCCTCTCCTGTCCTGCAGGCTGATGAAAGGATCCTCCGGGTATTTGGCCCGGTATTTCTTCAGAAACCCGCCTTCAAAGTCGGCCAGAACCCCGTCCATGTCCACCAGAACCCGGAGCCTCTTACCGGAGGACATGTTGACGGAAATCCTCCTAACCGGATCACGGAGTAACGTTTTTCCTCTTCCGAGTAGGCGGGTGGTAGAAAGTAGTATCATGTCAACGAGGAGAAATACGTGGAATAAGTTACACAAGTGTTCACCACGTGGTTGTGTTGTTATCTGTCTTTTGACGATTGTATGTTACGTGCAATTTATCTCTGATCATTCTGGGCGTCTCGTTTCTAGCCAGCTAACACAGCAGGCAGCAGGTCAAATATATTTAGTGCCACACACAGTGTAATGGGAGCTGTTTGTTTGTGTATTTACAGCCCAGCAGCGACTCATAATAACCTTTCTAAAAACACCCACAGAATGTCAGACATGTAGATGCTGGTGCTACCTGTGCAGAAACAAGGAAGATGGATTGGGAGGAAGACAGGAAGAGAACAATCTGTACAAACAGAGCATCAAAGATATGTGAGGAGGACAAGAGGGTTCACTCCTCTGTTGATAAGTGTCATGCCTGAATCTTCTTCTTCTTCTTCTCTTCGTTTTTTGGCGGATTGCAAACAACTTAAAAGGTGCATACCGCCACCTACTGTACATGAGTATGAATCATCATATCATACCAACTCTTTAACCTATGATCTAATCAAAATAAATAAATAAATCAACAAAAAACAAAAAACAAAACATGAAATAAATAAAACAAAAATAAAAATCTATGTTCTTTCTTGACCTAATGTTAAATTCTTTTTCCTACCCCAGTTTCACTCAAGAATGTAAACAGTGCCTTTCTGGTATCTCTTACTCCCTCTCCTTTTGTTCCCAAAATACCAACCACACTCCATTCCCTCTCTGCCTCTAAAACTTTAGCCTTTAGTTTTTCTCTTTCCGCTTTATATATGTCACAATGTATCAAGATATGTTCTACATCTTCTTTTACTCCACAGTTCCCACACTTGTCACTGTCACTTTTCCCCATGACATACAGCCTACCATTCAATGCTGTGTGATTTATTCTGAGTCTAGCGATCGTGATTTCCTCCCTTCTGTTTCTTTCTTTATAAATATGAATTGTAATTGTCTTTTGTACTTTGTGATATTCTTTGCCTTTCTGGTCTTTCTCCCACCTTTTCTGCCAGATCTCCATCCCTTTCTTCTTAATTACTGCTTTTCCTTCTCCTTTTCCAAGTTGAACTGGTAATGTGATTTCCTTTTGTAGTGCACTTTTTGCTAATTTATCAGCACACTCGTTCCCTTTCACCCCCTCATGTGCGGGCACCCAGCAGAACTGCAGATCTATGCCGCCTCTGTGCAGTCTTAACAGGCTATGATTCAGTTCTATGAGAATGTCTTCTCTGGCAGTTGTTGTTGATTGTATGCTTTGTAATATGGACAATGAATCTGTGCACATCACCACCCTATCTGGTCTGACCTCTTCAACCCACTGTAATCCTATTATTACTGCCAGCATTTCTGCTGTGTACACTGATAATTGATCAGACGCTCTTTTTGCAATAGATATTTTAAATTCTGGGATGTATATACCAATTCCAACACACTCTTCCTTGTTCTTAGAACCATCTGTGTAAATTTGTAGGCAATTGTAATACTTTTCATTCAGATACATACTTGTTTTAATTCCCACTTCATTTACTTGCCACTCTTTTTTCCTTTCTACAATACTCACATATGTTAGCTTCTGGGAAAAGCCATGGGGGAACACGGCTAAATGGGGTTGCTTTAGCAAACGTGATATTGTCCACTCCATATGCCCTCGTTCTCTCCTTACTCGTCCAGCCAAACCCACGTCCCTGGAACTTTGCATATTCCCAGCAATCCTGTAATATTCTGTTTGAAATATTTCCTTCTCCACTTCCTTGTAGCCTGACCCAGTATGACAGAGCAAGTTTCTCTCTTCTGATCTCCAGAGGTGTCTCTCCTGCTTCTATCAGAACTGCATTGATAGGGGATGACTTTATCGCTCCAATACACAACCGCAATGCTTTATATTGTATTCTATCAATTTTTAAAAGCGATGTTTTTGCTGCTGCTCCATACACTATACAACCATAATCTATTGTGGACCTCATAATTGATCTGTAAATGTCTATTAATGCTTGTTTGTCTGCGCCCCAGTTGCATCCAGCTACAGCTCGCAATAAATTTAATACTTTTTTGCATTTTGTTTCCACTTGTTTAATATGCATTTTCCATGTATATTTGCTATCAAACCACAGTCCTAGGTATTTGAACTCATTCACCTTTGTCATTGGACGATCATATAGTGTTAGCTGTTGGCCATCAATCTTGCGTTTGTTTGTGAATACCATGTAGCATGACTTGCTTTCTGACATTTTGAATCCCCAGTTATATGACCACCTCTCCACTTTTTTAATCGCTCTAGCTATATTCTCCATTACGTATGGGGCATTTCTTCCCCTCATCCAAATAGCCCCATCATCTGCGTATAGAGCCGATTGAATGCATGTGTCTAAACATGTAAATATATCATTGATCATGATGTTAAATAATATTGGACTGACTGCACTCCCTTGGGGGATACCATTTTCTATTTCAAAATAGTTGGAAATATCTGCTCCAACCTTTACTCTAAATGTCCTGTCTGTTAAAAAGGCCCTTACCCAATTGTACATTCTCCCTCCAATACCCATTCTACTCAATTTGATCAGTAACCCATCCCTCCACATACAGTCATACGCCTTTTCAATGTCAAAGTACACTATTGCCATTATCTCTTTCATTTTCAATGTTTTTTCCACATCATTACTCACTCTTACTAAAGCATCTATTGTGGACCGCCCTTTACGAAATCCGCTCTGAAAACTACTCAGCAGCCCTTTCTGCTCCAGTACATGTGAGAGCCTACGGACAATGATCTTTTCCATCCATTTACATAGGTGTGATGTAAGAGCTATTGGTCTGTAGTTACTAGGGTTAGCTGTATCTTTCCCTGGCTTATTGAATGGTAGCACGACTGCTGTTTTCCACAAACTTGGCATATCTCCTTCTCTCCAGATTTTATTGAAAAGACTCAGCACCATTGTCATAGTTTCCATAGGCAACTGTCTAAACATAGCATAACATAGCTGGTCTTGTCCTGGGGCTGTATAACCTGTACCTTGTAAGGCTATTTTGAGTTCTGACATTGTAAATTCCACATCAAGAGCTGACCTATTATCCTGTCTCTTCTCCTTCACGTTTTCATTCTCTGCTAGTAACTGCTGTTTTTTGCTGCCTATGAATATCACTGAGATGTTCCCCGCTATGTACTGCTGCAAGTGTCCTTCCTAACATGTCTGCCTTCTCTTTATCTGTCACTGCCAGCCTCTCCCCATCAACCAAAGCTGGAATTTTAATGGATTTCCTTTTCCCACTCATCCGCTTAAACATGGACCAGACATCACCTAATTTTACTCCTCTGCCAATGGTAGAACAAAATTCTCTCCATGTTCTTTTTTGTGTGTATTTGATTGTCCTTCGAGCAGCTGCCCTTTTCCTTTGAAACTCTATAACATTATTTTGTGTCATGTTTTTCTTTAATTCTCTAAATGCATTATTTCGCTCTTTAATAGCCCTGCTGCATTCCTCATTCCACCATGGCACCACTTTCTTCCTACCCTTGGTTGTTGTTTTGGGTATACTGTTCTCTGCTGCATTTAGAATATGTTGCGTTATTTGGCTTGTAATGACCTCTATGCTTCCCTCTGATGTTAGCAGGTGTACCGACTCCTCACACCATATCCTACATTTCCCCCAATCAGCTTTAGCAAAGCACCACCTGGTTATTGCACCTCCTTCCTGTATATATACATTAGTATTCATTTTAGTAAGCACTGGATAATGGTCACTTCCTACTGTGGATTTATTCAAAACAAACCATTCGCATGTATGAACCAAACAGTTTGACACTAATGTCAGATCCAGGCATGATACTTTCCCCCTGTGTACATCTACTCTTGTGCCATGTCCATCATTAAGGCATACTAGTGTTCTTTCCTCCAGCATTTCTTCCACTATATTTCCGTTACTGTCTGTATGGTTGCTGCCCCATAGACTGTTGTGTGCATTGAAATCACCACACCAAACTTCCTTCCTATGTTTATTGCCTGCTATTTCTTTAAATATATCAGTGGTTAGATTTTTACATGGGTTGTATACATTGATTATCCTAATGTTATCTTGTTTCCTAGGGTTGCAGATTTCCACTATAATACACTCTATATCATCAGGAGATTGCACCTCCCTATATGCCACACCATCTTTGAGAAACGTGGCACACCCTCCACCATTTTGATTATTATCTCTATCATGCCTTATACAGCTAAATCCTGGAATGACAAAGTCTAATTGAGGTCGTAACCAGGTTTCTTGCACACATATTACCTCAGGGACTACCTCTAGATCATATATATATTTCTTGAATTCTTGACCATTAGCTATGAGGCTTCTTGCGTTCCACTGTAGTATGTGCAGCACCATGATTAAGGATCTAACCCTCATCCTGATTTTCATTTTCCCCAGCTCCATTTATAGTTAGCATTGCATGTATCTGATCTGCTTTAATATCTTTCATGTCAAGGAATTTTCCAGCTGCCTCCACAATGGCTTTGATTCTATCACTTTTCTTTTTTAACTGCAATGCAACATTTACAGTATGGCATATAAATACCACAAAATTCACCTTTTTCACTCCTAGAACATCATCATCCTCTTTACTCTTGGTGGCGCTGTGGGGTTGGATTTGAAGATTACTTTTTGGTGTGTTCCTGACATTTTGTATTGTAATGCTCTGCTCCATTCCACTAGGGTTCTTATTGATTGTTACTGTTCCCCTTACTTTCTTTATTGCTTCTGCGTATGAAACTTTGTTTGTAATCTTAACTCTCTGCACCTCTCTGGCCTCTCTCTGCACTTCACAACCTCCAAACGCAGCACTGTGATCTCCTCCGCAGTTACAACATTTAACCTTTGCATCCTTTTCACATTTTCCATACTCATGTTTTCCTCCGCATCTCGCACACCTTAGCTGTCCTTTACACTGCTGCGCTGTGTGCCCCATTCGTTGACATGCATAGCACCTGAGAGGTTTGGGGATGTACTCCCTAACCATGAAGTTCAAATATCCCATTTGTACTGCCTTAGGTAAGATTCTCTCAAACTGAATGAGAACTGATAATGTTTCTTTGAGTGTACCATCCCGTTTGCTTTTAAGCCTTGTGACTTCCACTATTTTGCCTCCTTTTAATTCACTTTTCACATCTTCCATTGACATGTCCAATGGTACTCCTGAGATTACTCCTCTCAGTTTCGCCATTGCTCCTGGAACATGCGCCTTCATTTTCTCCCCATTCAGTGAGTTCATTCCCAGAATCTTTTCCTGCTGCTGTTTGTTATTGGCATGTATCAATACCCGCTTATTGTTCATGAATTTAGCAAATTTAATTTTTCCAATCTCTTTTTCAATTGCTTTGGTAAGTTTAATCGGGTGGTAATGCCCACCATCCTGATTGAATTCTATTACCACTTTCCACTCGTGTTCTATTTCTTTATTCAACATTGCTTGACTGTCATTTTGACTGACTCTTGATTTTTTGTTTTGCTTAGCCTCGTCTGCTTCACCCGACCAATCCGACCAACTTCGAGCTCTTACTGAACTATCTCTGTCTCTCAAAGATCTTTTCTTCTTCGCAGCTTTGGCTATCATCCATTCCATATTGTGTCTTTGGCTACCATCTGAGCTGGTTGACATGATGAAACACTCAATGTACAGTTTATGCAAATCCGCCAAAATAACAGTCCAATGCTACCATTTCTGTATGTATCCGAATTTCCGATTCTCTGTGAACTTTCTGCCACGCGTCTCCAACTTCACTTCCTTCTTCCGGCCGATCCCGGAACAGTCATGAGAGTTGCTCATTCGCCGTATCAACCAACCTCATGCCTGAATCACAAGAAGAACTCCCTTTTAGTCCCAAATGTACAGTGTTACAGCAAAAAGTGGCATTGTAGCAGGTACATAAAAGAAAGGCAATAATAAAGAACAAGCTAGCTGTTTTAAATATAGAGAAGAAAAACACATATTGGTAATAATAGAATAAAAAATAAAGACAAATAAGTACACGTCCATGGCTTAAAATGAGGACCAGCAACTTAAATAACTTAGTGACATATTAGGTGTTGAGCAAAGTAACTAAGTACATTCACTCAAGTACTGTACAGGCGTGTGGCGCAGTGGGCTAGTGCGTTGGTGTTGGGATCAGGGGAGCACAGGTTCAAACCCCACTGCAGTCAGCATGTCGTTGTGTCCCTGAGACACTTCACCCCAAATTGCTCCTGTGGGGATTGTCCACAGTATTGAGTATGTAAGTCGCTTTGGATAAAAGCGTCTAACAAGTAACATGTCATGTACACTGTTCATATACTTGTACTTTACTTGAGTATTTCAATGTTATGCTACTGTGTACTTTTACTCCACTACAGTTCAGAGGTAAATTGTGTACTTTATGTACATACACATTTATGTAAATACTTGTATGTATTTAATACCTTTAGTTATGTTACAGATTTGGATTACACATGACATATATACATGACATTTTAAAATTCACCACATTAAATGTTTTATTTCCAATATTTCAGCAGGTGTGTTTTTTCATTTTTCTCATCTTCATTGACTCATTTGCATTTGTCACAATTGTATAACACTACAACACAGTAATACTATTGGGGGCTATATGTATGATGGTGTAAATACTCAGTAAGAGTTAGTAAAGATAACAACATTTTAATCAAGTTTATGACGGTGTTACCTAGTATGCCTTTATATTGAACGAGTAAATAAATAACAGTCTTAATCCACCAATGAATATGTGTGCTATTGATGTTGTATACTTAATTTAGCAGGTATTCTGTTCCTAATATATTGATTTTCAACAGTTACCTATACAATAAAGGAGCTTCAAACCTGCAAGGAGTTGGGACAAGAACAAGAAAACAACAGTGACAGAAAAGGTGATTTTCATGTTGTATTAAGTACAACAACACTTCGGGGTGCAGTAGATTAGAATATGTGAACGATGCAATGCCAGTGAGACTGGAGCTCTTACATCTTATAACATCTTTGTTCAATACGCCACCTAAATGATACGTCAGTTCCTGTGTATTTTTCTCATTTAAGGAAGCACTGGTGCTGCAGTCTAAAATAAGCAAATGAAGTCCCTTAATCTGTAAGACTATTACAATAAGTTACAATTAGCAAAATACAAAATTAAAATAGTGTCAGTTATCATGATTTAATATTTCCCGCAAATCATGTGTGTGGCCCTTTAAGAATCCAACGCTTGGTTCGTGAATCTCGTTGCAGTCTGTTCTGTATCATCGCGATAGTTTGACATCAGTCGCATTGAATACAATAATAAATACAATATACAAGGAATATTAAGAATAATATACAATACAGTTAAAACATTTAAATTGAAAAGTTGATGGTAAATATCAAGCAGACTCTACAGAGGGAGACCTGTCATATTTGTGACTTTATTTCATCTGCAACAAAAAAAACAAATGAAATATCACAGACAATATGGTTTTCAGCAATTGTATATTTTAGGCGCTGCAGTCTGGAATAAGAAGGTCCCTTAACCTTTAAGAAAATCACAATAAGTTACATGTGCAAGACAAAAAAATAAACTAATATCAAAATAGTGACAAATCGTGTGTCTGGCCCTTTAAGAATCAAAGGCTCTGTTGCTAAATCTCGTTGCAGCCTGTTCTGTTTATATATCATCGCGATAGTTTGACCTCAGTGGCGGCCCCCTGTCTTCAGTCCGGACGGAGTTGTTTCTGACGTTTGAATGAAAAACAGTGCAAATTACCTCGACTTTGGACCCAGGAAATAATGGCTTCAGCCTTGGAGCAGTTTGTGAACAATGTGCGGCAGCTCTCCGCTCAAGGTACGTTTGCTAAAACTAATTTTAATGGGATGTATTAGGTAGTTAGCTTAGCATAGGCTATCCAATGCCTTGCCGATAGCTTTATCTTTTTGCCATATCATGTAAACACACCGTTAAAAATGACTTTTTCTGAGTGTTAGAGTACTGTAAAGTATCACCAGAAGCTGCATTCGTACTCAGGAGCGTTATGTCACCCGCGACTTGGTCGTTTATCAAACTAAATATCTTAAATCCTACTTTTTCAGCTAAAGAAATAATATCTGAGCACTGCCTACCGGTAGTCCCGCCCTCGCCTCACGTGATTGGCTGTTGGAGGGAATACGCGAATTCTATTGGTTCAAAGGCACCTGTCAATCGCGCTTGCTTTGCTTCTTGATTCAAGGCCTTGACCGGATTTGTATTGAAATACAAAGCCACAGCTGGATTCGTGTACATATATTTGTAGTCAGTTTGTTTAATATATTTGCAAAGAATAGCCTATTGATGGAAGAAGACGGTTAAATAGCAATTTTACCACAAATCCCACCATTAAAACAATGAGGAAATGAAGTGTCTTGGTGGATTTATTAATTTAACCTCATTATTTACAATAACTGTGAAAGTGTGGAAGTTATGAATCCGTATCTAGTGTACAGTTCAGTTTAATCTTGTTCCCCTCTGACAGATTTATATCTAACTGTCAATATTTATATATTTTAATTCTTAGTTCTGTTTTATTATCTACTTTGGTCTGTGTCTATTTGTGTGTTTGTTTATTTCTACTATTTTCTTACCTTTTACATTATGTGCAATGCCTTGTTTACATGCTGCTGTGACCAAAACATTTCACAAGTTGGGATCAATAAAGTATGTCTTATCTTGGCTGCCACAGCATGTAATAAGATATGACAATAAATCCCAGAATAACATCCTAGTGGTCAATTAATTACAAGACAAGGTGCCTAAAAATTCTCAAATGTTGATCTGCATCTAGCATTATGATGCAAACTGTTTTGTATATGAGATATGTGTGCTTCCAAAGATCGAAATGGCATCTAAAATGTTTCCAAAGCGTTTTAATTTCCCCATGTTTTCCTGCCCTTTCACCTCCAGGCCAGATGACTCAGCTCTGCGAGTTGATCAACAAGAGCGGGGAGCTGCTGGCCAAAAACCTGTCCCACCTGGACACGGTTCTGGGGGCTCTGGACATCCAGGAGCACTCCCTGGGCGTGCTGGCTGTGCTGTAAGTAGCCTCCTTCATCCTAATTCTGTCCAGGATTGACACCGTCAGTGTTAAGAGCTTTTCTCCAGAGTCTTGTGAAGTCTTCTGGTGGCTTTTTTGTGTGTCTGCCACTTCTTGTGATTGAAACACCAGTGTTTCTCAAACTTTTTCATACCAAGGACCACTTAACCAATACAAAAACACTCGCGGACCACTTAACTCTCCAAATATCCAAAACAATAGGCCTGCTTACCACTGCAACAGTATATAACAAATTACAGCCTAATAATAACAACAGCTTAACGTGACCTCTCTATATCGCCTCGTTCACACATTAAATCAACAATACAAATACAGAGTTTAACTCTCTGAGGTCTAAGCCATATTTTCACATGTTAGGCTCGTCTGGGCTTTTTTTGTAAAAATGGCCTGCATGGTCTGCCTACAAAACAAAAATAAATGTTGCTTTTTGCAGCCCCAACAACAGCCTCTGATCATCAACAGACTCCATGCAATGCTTCATTGGATGCATATATTAGATAATAATCTCTATCTCACTCCTAAATCTACTTTCAGCATGGATAAATGTTCATAAAAGACATCCATTGTTTGTTTTATACGCTTCTTGATATCCTAAAAAAAAACACATCGTTTTTCTAGAACAGATTACAAATCGCCTGAAAATGGTACAAACAAGTGGCAATATGTGTGACGAAGGTGTTGCGCTGGGCTATTTCGTGCAAGCTCGCTCCATTGCGGAGATATTCCCGCGAGAGTGCGAAATAACTGTATAAATATAATAATGTATTTCAAATGTGAAATGTTACCAATATACTCATGGACCACTAGGGGGCGCCCACACTTTGAGAAACAATTGTTGTGTCTGTTGAAGGTCATATAGAATGGAATAGAATATGTGATGAATAGGGTAGATGTGGAGGAGTTAATGAAAACAAAACTTCATTAACATTTTACACAAAACCAATAAAATATCAAGTAATTACATCTTGAATAAAGGGTGCTATTTCCTAATTCTTAATATTATAATGGGCTGCGTGTTGCTTATAGAATAGCAAACCTTGTGTTGACAGGAAGCAGCTGAAAAAGACACATTGTAGGCCTGAGATAACTTTGTCAAAAAGAAAGCGACCATTTCCTGTCATTTAGTGAATCAAAAAAGGCCACTTCTGCATTAAAGAGTAAACAAATGAGCCTAGATATATGATTGCACATAGGGGAACACACAAAATAAAGTATTTAGGTTTTACTTAATGACACCATAAATGTTATACCGGTCCCTTCTGCATCATAAAGATTTAAAACTCAAGTGAAGAATGATATCATTTGACTCTTAGCAACTGGAAATGATCTGACAACCAAACCGTTCAATTTGTCCTTCTCATCCCGAATGTGTTGTCATTAGCAGTGAAGCTGTGAGGCCTGCGTTAAAGTCTCCTTGGTTCATTGAACGTGTCTATGTCTCACCTCCTTCTCTTTTGATCCAGATTTGTGAAGTTCTCCATGCCAAACATCCCTGACTTTGAGACGCTGTTCTCCCAAGTCCAGCTCTTCATCAGTACCTGCAATGGAGAGCACATTAGATATGCAACAGACACTTGTGAGTACAGACTAACCTTACCTCTCCTTAATAATTAAGAAGCATGCCGGTGTTTTCTGTGCAGATCTCTACACTGAACAGTGATATGTTGCTCACAGTGCACTCTGCTCAAAGGTGCAACATCTGGAACACTTTCATGTGTTCGCTGATGAGCTCTGCGTATAAACTGGGCCTACAATTACATATAGTGCAGCCTAAAGATTCATTGTATAGACATATACTTTTATGGTGGATACATAATGTTGGATTACAGGTAGGGATGCTCCGATCGATCGGTGCTCTCTATAAATGCCGATCTTGAGAGATGATCACATGACGTAAAATACATGACACTTTTCTCTGTGTGCGGCAAAACAAGCTCGCCAAAATGGCTTCCAGTCTGGCAGTATTTTAAGGTGTCCGAAAAAGACAATAAAATAGCGGTATGCAACGTGTGTGTGAAGCAGAAATCCTGCAGTTCCGCCCGCTGTGACGGACCGGTGAGCAAATATTACAAATGTATTGCAAAGTTATTTTCCTTGATCCTTTTTGAGCATGAGGAAAAAAGAATGTGTTTTACCAGAAATATGTGAGCAGTGCTTGACACTTCACTCACCTCAAAAAAACTAAAGTAACTCGATAATTGAACACCTTTCTTTTCTCTGTTTCCCCTCACAGTTGCTGGTCTCTGCCACCAGTTGACAAACGCCCTCGTAGAGCGGAAACAGGTGAGAACAAGAGTGTTGGTTTTTGGTATATTCTTTAATGATTTAGCTTTCCATAATCGTTACTCGTTGCTGCCACGTGTCTCTGTTTTTAAAAGCCCATTATAGTGGCTGTTTATCCAATGCACAAGGTTCCTAGTCCAATTAGTCTGCATGGTGTCTTAGCTCTAATGCCCAACAAATCCAACGCTTTAGTCAAGTCGCATTGTACTCACGGGAGGCAGGTCAAACTTAAATGAGGGTTTATTTGAAGTGTCTAACAGCGTCATGGCAGGTTATTTCATCCAAATGATATCTCACTCGGTCCACCATGCACTTGCTAATTCAATACTGTATGCTATAAATTAGCATTAAATAACTAAACCACGATTACAAGGTCATCATCTTGTTGGGATCCAAATGTTTAGATCTCCAGCATCTTACTAGCTTAACATAGTTTTAAAAGTCTCTATTACGACACCAGAAGAATAGCAAACGGTCACATAACCTTAGCACAGTCCACCTATATACATATTTACAATGATAGAAGTGTTCATATAAACAGCTGCCTAACCTGTCATTTAAACATTTTTCTTGGACATAAATAAGTGCTTAAGTGGCTCTAATGGCGCATTTCCACTGCAGGGCGTAGCACGGCTTAGTACGGTATAGTTAGGCCTTGGTAGGCCAGGCTCACTTTATGCTGCGTTTCCATTACAGTTTAGTAGCTGGGGCCGTAACTATAGTAACGCAGTGTAGGCGGAGCCGTGACGTCATCTTCAATGCGAACCACAAAACCAACACAGCCGTTAGCTGTTAGCCCTCAGAGCTCACAGCTCCTCATATATGTTCAGAAACTAGACAAAAGTTAAACAAGTACAAACCACAGACTGTCTGTGTCATGGCGAATACAGGCGCTGGTTTATTTATGTCTGTAGGCCGTTGTTGTGAGTGTGGACGGTCGGAGCATATACTGCGTTAGCTTAGCCGATCTCCATTCAGAAAACACGCATTTTAAAAGGTTCTTCGCCTGCCGTCTGTCTGCAGACTTGTCAAAGCATTAATTCATGGTTTTTACTAACCGGTATCAGTATGTTGTTACTTCAGCATCATTTTGAAACGTGTATTACAATTAAATCACGGTCAAATATGTTCATCTTGTTGTAGTTGTAGCCCCCTTGCCGTCACTAGTTCAGCATATTCAGCCCGGTTGTTGGCCCGGAAAGAACCACGATTTTGGAGGGCCAGAAAAACTGTGAAAAAGTACCCGTTAGCCGGAACTAGCCCTAGTGGAAACGCAGCAAAAAACGAACCGGCTTTGGCACGGCACGCTTAAACAGCGCTACGCGCTGCAGTGGAAATGCGCCATAACACTCATTATCTTTTAAAGGACACCATACCAGCTCTTCTGCTTTGGTGAATATTTTGAATGTTGTACATGCAAAAGTAATTTCCCCTGGGAGAATAAAAAAACATGACATTTTAATTTAATTTTCCACATTCGTCCCAAATGAGTTATCCACCTGCTTTTACACGGCTGAGTTTCCCCTTCCAATAGTTCCATGTTTTCCTTTTTCTTCTCAATCCAAATATTTCATTCATCTTAAATCGGGGGGGCAGGCCCGGACTGTCTTCATTGTGTTTGGACGTCTCTGCTGAATCACTAACTGGTGTTTTCCTCCTCTTCCTCTGACAGCCATTGAGGGGTGTTGTCGTCCTAAAACAGGCAATAGACAAAATGCAGATGAACACAAACCAACTTACCTCAGTTCATGCAGACCTGTGTCAGGTGAGTCTCTGCCATGCTGGGGTCCTTAATGTGTTTAGGATTTAGCAGTTTTCTACTATATTTGTATTTATTTATTTGTATTGACAATCTTCTTATGTTAATATACATATTTAAAAAATGTATTGAAAAATTATTATTCTGTTTTTTTTACAAATATTTTTAGATTATTTATTTTTTATTGGACATCTTTACTTAAACTTCTTATGTTTAAATTAATATTTTCAATTTTGTAAATATATTTTATTTATTTCATATTAAAATGGAGCAACTGGAATTAAAACAGTGTCCTAATTCTGATTTAAAGACTTCATATGTAACATTTATGCATTAAAGGTCTAACAATGACTAACCCTATGTTATGTAATTTGTTTAGTTGTATAATTACACAATCCCAAAAACAATTTGTGCATTTAACATTTCATTTTGCATTTCATTTTGCTACCGTTTATGATCTACATCAGGGGTGTCAAACTCAAGGCCCGGGGGCCAAATCCGGCCCGAGACTTCATGTTATGTGGCCCCACAAGAGCTTGCAAAGAATCTAATATGTTTATTATACGGTTACATGATGATTTACAGAAGCACGTTGCCCATAAACTACATGTCCCACAATGCATCTCAAATATGACTTTTTCTCAGAATTTGACTTTTTTTGTCCAAATATGCCTTTTTTCTTAGAATTAGCCTTTTTCTCATAAATAGATTTTTTTTTCAAAATGTCACTTCTCTTTTTCAAAACGTCACAATCAATGTTTTTCCAGAATGTGGCTTTTCTTTTAAAATCATATTGTGACATTCTTACTGAAGAGACTTGCAATTATTTGCTCTAGACTTCTGCTTTCAGACGTAGTTAATTATGAAGTTATATTAATTAATGATATAGTCTTAAAGTTACAACCGGCCCTTTGAGTGCAACCATAATGCTGATGTGGCCCGTGATGAAATTGAGTTTGACACCCCTGCTGTACATCGACGTTATCCTAGTTATCTTGACTCGTTTCCATTTCATATTTGTTCCTACTAAGCCGTCTTGAACCCCAGTCTTATTCCCAGCCCAGTCTCTCTCCAGTCTGACTCCTAAACATCGTCCTCTCTTTACTCCCGTCTCCTCACAGCTGTGCTTGTTAGCGAAGTGCTTCAAGCCCGCGCTGCCCTTCTTGGAGTTGGACATGATGGACATCTGTAAGGAGAACGGAGCGTACGACGCAAAGCACTTTTTATGTTACTACTACTACGGTGGCATGATCTACACGGGCCTCAAAAACTTTGAAAGAGCACTGTATTTTTATGAACAGGTACTCACACACCCCTAAAACACTCAAAATGTACTTGGAATATGTCTCATGTACTTATTTAAGCCCTGATTGTGTAATATAATCAACATTTTCTCTTGTGTACAGGTAGATAATCACGTGTTTTCCCACTTTCTCAGGCAATAACCACTCCAGCCATGGCAGTGAGCCACATCATGTTGGAAGCCTATAAGAAATACATCCTGGTGTCGCTCATTCTCCACGGCAAAGTGCAGCCACTGCCCAAATACACCTCTCAGATCGTGGGGAGGTTCATCAAGGTGAGGACTAACAGCTGGGAGGGAATCAGTAGTGTTGGAAAAATATCACTTTTCACCGGCTTGAGCTTCAATCTCAGGATCCATGTATTTATGATCCTCTCAATAAGTAGACATCACATATGGCGCGTTTCCACTACAGCGCGCAGCCTGGTTTAAGAGGGCTGTGACGTCAGCGGCCCGTTTGTGGTTGCGTTTCCACTTGGCCTAGTACCGGCCGGCGGGTCCTAATTCACAGTTTTTCTGGCCTCATAAAATCGTGGGGCTAGGGCCGAGACAACCGGGCTGAGTTTGTGACGTCAACGCTCTCGGCTGCTGATTGGTCGGAGAGAATCGTCACAATCGCGCGCGAGATAATCCCTAGCTAACTAGTTCCTGAACAGTGTCCTTCACATGCTGATATCCAAGAGAGGGAGTTGCACAGTCACAAGATGGAGGAATACCGGAGGCCTGTACTACGAAGCTGGATTTTCGCTTAGCCGGCTAAATTCAGGGAAATCTCGGGCTTTCCGGTCCTACGACGCTGGTTCTCTTTTTAGCAGGCTAGATTTCCATGGTAACTTATGCTGAGCGGCAAACCTGCTCCGGAGCAGGTTAGGTGGCAGGCTAAGAGATCAACTCAGTGAAAGCACTGCCTGCTGACCAATCAGAGCTCCGATCAATTCATATTACAGGATAGAGGAAATACAGAAAAACTGCCGTTGCAGGAAAGACGGCCGGCCAAAATCAACTGACTGTGTGAACGTGAAAATTAATAGAATATCCCCTCCCATCTTCAGAGCAATCTGACTATTATAACATTAGCGTTAAGAAAGCTTACTTAAATATCTGCCACGACATAAGTAACCGGATCAGAGTAACATTAAGTACAGTCCGCGGCACTGTGAGTGCAGACGTCGATGTGTCCCATTATCATTCATATCATATCACATCATAATGTATCATATATTTCCTTATCTGAGTCAGCTGAGCCGTATCTGGCCGTGCAACACTCACAGTGTCACATACTGTATGCAGAAGTATTATTTTAAGCAACACATTAAGTTGACGAAACACTCGAGTCAAATGTAATTAAAGTCAGATCCACTCGTGTCTTGGACGGGGCAGTGATTTCATAAACCTGTTAATGTACGCATTCAAACACTTTTTCTTTTACCAGCTGTATTCACCTTGCAGGTGCAGCTATGTGGCTTTTATCCTGGATAAAGTGTTTAAGACATGGATGTTTAAAGTTTAACTTCTTCATATTTGACTAATATTAAAGTTCACTTTTCATTCAGGAAGTATGACGCTGCGCTGTCAGTACGCTTGTCCATGTTTGAGATTGGTCGAATGCTCCAAATACCACCCCTTTCATGTGAACGTGCACCTAACTAGATAGGACACGGCTGGCTTGAGCGATCCACTTGATAACCAGCGTCGTAGTACGGTTTAGCCAGAGCGCGTATGTTTTGGATTGGGCCAACCGGCTAACTCAAACATATCCAGGTTAGGTTGAACCAGCTTCGTAGTACAGGCCTCGGGTCTTGTAGGTAATCCTACATCCTGTCATGTACAATATACTGAGTTTTTTTCTCAATGTTGGCTTTTTTCAGAAAATCTCAAAATTCTGACTTTTTCTCAGAATTCTGACTTTTTCTCAATACTTAACATTTTTGATAATCACTCGTCCCCGGCTTGAGCTTCAATCTCAGGATCCATGTATTTATTGACAACGTTTTCATTGGTCCCTCTTCTTTAGAGAAGACCAGGAAATGATGGATACACGGATCGTGTTCAAATCAATAGGCACGCAATGACTCTAAATAATAATGATCACGCCACCAAACACACATTCAAACTAAAGTAACCAGCCTGTTTGGGAAATGTGAGAAGTAGAAAGTACAGGTATTTGTGTTCAACATGTAAGAAGTAGAAAGTACAGGTATTTGTGTTCAACATGTAAGAAGTAGAAAGTACAGGTATTTGTGTTCAACATGTAAGAAGTAGAAAGTACAGGTATTTGTGTTCAACATGTAAGAAGTAGAAAGTACAGGTATTTGTGTTCAAAATGTAAGAAGTAGAAAGTACAGGTATTTGTGTTCAACATGTAAGAAGTAGAAAGTACAGGTATTTGTGTTCAACATGTAAGAAGTAGAAAGTACAGGTATTTGTGTTCAACATGTAAGAAGTAGAAAGTACAGGTATTTGTGTTCAACATGTAAAAAGTAGAAAGTACAGGTATTTGTGTTCAACATGTAAGAAGTAGAAAGTACAGGTATTTGTGTTCAACATGTAAGAAGTAGAAAGTTCAGGTATTTGTGTTCAACATGTAAGAAGTAGAAAGTACAGGTATTTGTGTTCAAAATGTAAGAAGTCAAAGTAAAAAGTCGTCAGATAAATAAGTAGTGGAGTAAATGTACCTCTGGTGTTGTGCCATGAAGTAATTCGTTTTTCTCTCTGTGTCCTCTCCCTTTAGCCGCTGAGCAATGCATACCACGAGTTAGCTCAGGTTTACACCACCAACAACCCGGCGGAGCTGCGCGGCGTCGTCAACAAACACAGCGAGCAATTCACACGAGACAGCAACACGGGGCTGGTGAAGCAGTGCCTCTCCTCTCTCTACAAGAAGAACATCCAGAGGCTAACCAAGGTTATACATTATCCACGTTAATGTGATCCAAGGAAATAAGAGCGTAGTTTGTCTTCTCTTTGCTTCTTCACGGGGCGACGCTACGAACTGTACTAGTTTTTATTTGAGCTTTTGGATTCAATTTGAATTCAATTTAGTCTGAGAAATATGCTTTGTAAACAGATCAGAGAAGGACCTTGGTGGTGTAGAGTTAAGCAAAGTAAAGTGTCTTGGTGTATTCAAATCAAACAGTGCTTATACTGAGTTTAGTCAAGTTCTGAAGCCTCTTAGTTTAACGTATGTGCTGAGGTAAATCTCATAGGAGACATTTGGAAATGTGTAACTTAACCGAGACCTCCTAAAGTCAGTTTGTAAAGCTAATTGAAACTCATCAGTTTCATTCTCAGCTTGAGCTGGGTTACATTATTTAAAGGGGACCTATCATGCAAAATGCACTTTTGTACGTCTTTTCTACATGAATATGTGTCCCCGGTGTTCCAGGGAACTCACCAAGTGTCAGAAAACACAACCCTCTCTATTTTCCTCCATACCCAAATCTCTAAAAAAGGGGCTGCAACGGATCTGATAAAAACTGATCCAGATTTGAACACTGTCCTGACGTCAGAACGGTGGCGCTACGGCTATTGGGCCAACTCCACCAATCAGGAGGAGACAGCCACGGCCATTGCCGTTCGAAAGCGCTGGAGACGCTGTAGTACATATGCCAGGCCTGTAGATGGTGCTGTTGCTCACAGAATCAGCCCTTGCAAAAACAAATTGAGCGAAATGAGGCATGGCTAAAATGCATGATCTGTTTGGTATTTTGAAAAAAAAAAAGTATAAATATGCCTTATGGTCCTACACTATATTATTATAATATAGCATGATAGGTCCACTTTAATATATACACTATATGTCTTCATCATGACATGAGAGGAGACGTATTTGAGTGTTTTTATAACCTTAATATCCTGGATTTGAATGCTGCTTTTGATACAGACAGATGGATTGCATCATCCAAATCCAAAGATACAGCGAAGTAACTTTACACCCGTAGGTTCAGTCTTATCTAATGTTATTTCTTTCTTTATCTGCATTTTCTTTCTCCCTAAAAAGCATGTTGTAACATTGCTTTATAAATACATTCACTGATTCATTTTAACCTCTTTTCACTTTGTGTTTTGTGCCCCTCCTGCAGACCTTTCTGACGCTGTCTTTGCAAGACATGGCGAGCAGAGTTCAGCTGTCCGGCCCTCTGGAGGCGGAGAAATACGTCTTACACATGGTGAGCACATCAGGATAACTGAAGCATGGAGAGCCTGTCCTACATCTCATTTAATTATTTTATTTATTTATTTAATTTTATTTATTTTTATTTATTTTATTTATTTTATTTATTTTATTTATTTTATTTATTTTATTTATTTTATTTATTTTATTTATTTTATTTATTTTATTTATTTATTTATTTTATTTATTTTATTTATTTTAATTTATTTATTTTATTTATTTTATTTATTTTATTTATTTTATTTATTTTATTTATTTTATTTATTTTATTTATTTTATTTATTTTATTTATTTTATTTTATTTAGCAAACAGCAGCTTACTCCTGATCTGCACTTGACATTCTGTGTTAAATTGTTCCTCTCCTTCCTCCGTTTTAGATTGAAGACGGTGAGATCTACGCTAGCATTAACCAAAAGGACGGCATGGTCTGCTTCCACGACAACCCCGAGAAATACAACAACCCAGCAATGCTCCACAAAATTGACCAAGAGGTGAGGAGGTTTTCTTTTTGATCGCATGAAGTCCAAGTTCTGAATGAATCCTGACTTTGAAACTAAAGCTGTGTCCTCCTGTGTGTCCTTGCAGATGTTGAAATGTATAGAGCTGGATGAGAAACTAAAGTCTATGGATCAAGAAATCACAGTAAACCCACAATTTGTGCAGAAGGTGAGGCAAATCAAATGTTGATGCTTATTTGGATGTATTTTCCTAATGTGTATATATTGCTTTCTGGAATCTTAAAGGGACAGTATTCCTTAAACCAGAACATGCATATCTTTCCTGTCGTGATGTTTCTATGCATCTTCATAGTTTTGGCATAAAGATATATATATATTGGGGATGCTTCGATCTTAAGAGCCGATCACATGACGTAAAATATATGACACTTTTCTCTGTGCGCGGCAAAACAAGCTCGCCAAAATGGCTTCACCGGTCTGGCAGTATTTTAAGGTGTCCGAAAAAGACAGTAAAATAGCGGTATGCAACGTGTGTGAAGCACACGTTGCATACCGCTCACACGGACCGGTGAGCGGAGCAAAACACACACTAAGAGTTAGACCTTACACACTTAGCTATTTTATCAACCTCTGGAACAAGCTAAACTAGTTATAAATATATTTATTCTTCGCTGTCGGGTCACTCATTGCTGGATCAGTGAGCTGCATGAGAGAGATTCTGCTCATTTCTCCCGTGTTATTATCCAAATTATCCTTCATTTAAATGTAATAATGATGTTGGTTGTTGTTTGTGGAAGCGCCAGTGAATGAGCCCCATTAACTGAGTTTTAAACATCACTTTAAATGGAAGATCCCCATAGGCCCCGCCCACTCGATCAGATCGGCGATCGGTCCCAAAATATATATATATATATATATATATATATATATATATATATATATATATATATATATATATATATATATATATATATATATATATATATATATATATATATATATATACCTTTTCTCCAACATAATGGGACTAAATTGCACTTCCTTTTGCTTATGACACGGTAAAATGAATTAAGTAATTGGCTCATGATTTCTGCAAAGAGACTTTACTATTGAGGTTTCTAAATGTTGTTTTTTTGGCACTTTCAGCACCACAGGTCATCTAGTTTTGTATTATATCGGAGAAAAGGCCAACATCTCTACGGCTAATGTCTCCAAAAGTCTGCCACTCTCACTAAAACAATGTCATTTGATAACTTGCACTGAAGGTAGGAGGATCAATATTGATCCTCCTACCTTCAGTGCAAGTCCCTTTAACAAATCCTTCCTTGTTAATGTTGTGGTCTGTACCTTGTGAATAAGTGCTAGGTTTACTAGATTTAGTATGTGAGAAGCAAAGATACTTTTGTATGTGGTATAATTAAGTTAAAAAACAAAAATGTAGGTACACGATGTCAGAGGAATGTGATGCAAGGGTAGCTGGAGTTCAAACATTACAACAGGTGTACAAAACATGAGCATTTGAGCAAGTTGGAGTTTAAAGTACAAAAGCATTGCCGCTGCCACATGCATAATACAAAAACTATGAATAAATGTTAATAATAAAGTGTTTCAGGACTTCCAAGGAGGTCTTATGTTCAATATTCAAGGATCAGCAGTGGGTTTTCTCAGCAAAGCTACCCACAGATGTCCCAAAACTAACAGAAATATGAGCCGTTGTTCAGGAACCAGTTCTCCCAGGTGTCTTCTGGTTTCTAACATGTGACTCCGGTTTGTTTTCTCAGAGTATGGGATCGCAGGAGGACGATGTTGGTAGCAAAACATCCAGTTATTCCTGAGGACCCTCGGGCGACGGGGAGAGAACGCTGACGCCAGCCAACACGCTCTTCCCGGGATGAGTTGGATTTTTTTTAAGGAGGAAAAACAAACAAACATTCGATTGCATAAGGACATTGGTCAAGGAAAATCTAATTGTGTGGAATGATGATGATTTAAATTGGGTTATTGCTTTCTCTTCACAGTGTCGTAAAGGATAGCAAATTGTCCTTTTTACGAGGAAAAACAAAAAAAAAAAGATTACAATTTTGTCAGTGTTTTATTTATCAATGTTCAGGTCGGAGCGCCACTTTAACAGAAACAACAATAATAAAAAAACTGGACTTATTTGTTCCAAACATACGTGTGAATAATTTCACGGTTCTGCTGCATGACGGCCGTTTAAATAAAAAGGGGTACAGCGTGACGAGGATTGAAATCTGATATACTTTGTAAAGAATGCAATGACCGTTCCTCCTGTCACTCCTTTTGGTTAGTATTTAGACATCATCTGTACACATGGACATGCCCCTTGACCAAAACCCGGCACAATGGAAGAGTCGTACACAATCCCGTGCACTGTTTTGTTTGTGTTTAGTTTGTTCCTATTCCTTTTTTAGGTTGGATCCACTAGAGGTCGCTAGAGCACTGTATAGGAAAAACCGTTTTGACAGCTTGTTATTACAAGAGGGTGAAGTCAACAAACCAAACTGTCCTGTCATTTGGGAGCTTGAGCTTTTGCGATTGTGGATCTGTTAATAATAAATTGTTTAAGAATATAGCTGTGGGTTTCATGGTTTGTGAAAATAACTAATCCAATCCCTATTTTTACACTGTTTTAATGTGGATTTCCATCACGTTTTACGGTCCTGATTGATAAAATGAAGCTGAATTCATGTGTCAGCCAATCAGCGTGCTCATACAGGCGGATGTGGCTTCCAGGAAAATCGCACCAATCACGACGCGGCATTTACTTCAGAGAGGCGGGACTTAGCCGCGAAAAGAAAGTTGTCAAACGTCAATCATACGCGATACTCGCTTCTGATTGGTCCTCCGGTTTGAATGAGGTGGGTCTTGAACTACAGTCACCGTGTAAATTCCATTGCTAACCAACTTTAGCCAGCCTGCTAACATGTAATTCAGCGACCACATTGGTGGATTTAAAGAACATAAATAATGTTTTATTTAACATAGAGGAATATTAGATAATAATGTAATCTCCTGCATGTGTCTCTGTTATTGCAAACATGTGCAGTTAGCCAAAAACTGCAGCAATCTGGAAACCTGCAGAGCTAAAAAAAAATAAAAAAACGTTTCTCCTGGGTCTGCGTTGCGGGGATTTGAGGTTTCATCGCCCGGAGAGAGGACACTATTCCCGGGTGTTGGGACTACCATGAGTCCTGGAGGATGTCCGCATGTCAGTAGCTTCAAAGTGGACAACTGGAAGCAGAATCTGAGGGTGATCTATCGGTGCTTCGTGTGGAGCGGGTCAGCTGAGACCAGAAAACGCAAGGTAACAAGAAGAAGGAGACTAATAACGTACGTGCGTGTGTGTGTGTACACCGCCCTTCCAAAACAACACACATCTGACACTGGAGTCCAATGCAACCCATGTTCTCACAGTGTCGTCCTGGGTATATTGGGCTAGACAAATCCTAAAATCACTGGTGAAAAGTAACCAAGTACAGACATCCAAGTACTGTACTTTACTACAATTTTGAGAGACTTGTACTTGAGTATTTCTACTCCACTACAGTTCAGAGGTAAATTATGTACTTTTACTCCACTACATGTATTTAATACCTTTTAGTTACTTTACAGATGTGGATGAATGATGTGAAATATAATCAAGTGTTAAATCAGACTTTAGTTCCACCTGGAGTAAATTCACAAGCTACCCTGCAGTATACAAAGTCATTCAAACTAGCTGCACCTTTACCAGCTTTGAGAACACTTTCATGATCAATCATTATAAAACATATCATATATATTATTCTGAAATGGACCAATCTGCACAATGACTACTTTTACTGTCGCTACTTTCACTATATTTTGATGAGAATACTTTTCTACTTTCACTTGAACATTTTGAATGCAGGACTTTTACTATAACAGAGTATTCCTACACTCTGGTACTTCTACTTTTACTCAAGTACAATACCTGAGTACTTCTACTTTTACTCAAGTACAAGATCTGAGTACTTCTCCCAGCTCTGCCTAAATCACCTGACAGAAACTGATGCAAACCACCCTCTTATCTCCCAGTTAGCTGCCTGTTTGCTCACTTCAAAGCTAGAGAGCGATAATGGATCATAAGCTGATTGTTTGCTCTGGCTCTCAGCCTGCAGGACAGCAAGTATTTAAAATCCACCAAGCATATACCTGCAATCCTGCAAACCCCAATCCACAGTCAATGGCAGTATATTAGTACTGTATATGCTGATATTATATGACCACTTTTTGAAATGACTTGTTATCCCTATATGTTAAACTGAAGCAAGCAGCAAGAAATGTGGATCTGCATATTCGTCTTTTAACCAGAAAATAACTAATATTCAAGTCAGTTGCTAAATATGCTAATGCTTATATGCTAAATAATAAAAACACAACCTCTTGTCCTGATCATGTTAGCATATGCTTGAAATGCTAGAAAGGAGGTAAATGCAAAATATGAAAAATAACAGAACCTTAACATTATTATTCCAGACACACACACACACACACACACACACACACACACACACCTCCATGCACAAGTGCTTACACAGCACATGAATTATGAAAAGGCATCAATATGCAACCATCTCTCCTCACTCATCCTGTCGGTGTTACAGCACCGTGTTTCTGAGAACAGTGTATTCATGTAGGAGTGTGTGTCCTGTCACTCAGTCAGCACATCCTCACATCCTCTGCTGTCTTAGCGCAAGAGTACACACACACTGAGTAGTTATGGATATGCAGTAGTGGGAGAAGATGTGGAAGAAGTATACTCTATCTGTCATATTTGTGGGATGGCAGTGACGACGCTCTGCAGGCAGGATGTGTTGAGAGCAGCAGAGGGTAATGGGCTGAAGAGTTCCTGTGTGTGTGTGTGTGTGTGTGTGTGTGTGTGTGTGTGTGTGTGTGTGTGTGTGTGTGTGTGTGTGTGTGTGTGTGTGTGTGTGTGTGTGTGTGTGTGTGTGTGTGTGTGTGTGTGTGTGTGTGTGTGTGTGTGTGTGTGTGTGTGTGTGTGTGTGTGTGTGTGTGTGTGTGTGTGTGTGTGGACATTATCAGAGCTAACATCTGTCAGGTCCATTGATCTGCATCCAGAACAGGTGTCTGTCTAAACAGTTTTACCTACAAAACAAAGGCATTGTAGTTTCTTACTGTGGAAATCAACATGTTTTTTTCAATGGGTTTTGGTTAAATGCCTGGAATAAGGTGAAATGCAAGCTTAAAGATATTTGATGTGTGTTTTCTAGGACATAAAATACATTCGTTTTGATTAAAAAAAATACACAAATTTTGAAGCTTTAAACTGTCTTAAAAGTGAATTTCTGATATTTTACTGAACAAAGCGATGCCAACACGTGGCTCAATGAGATAACAGGGGTTGTATTTGTTTCATAGTGGACTGATAAAACACAACGCACCTGTCGTTCAGATGTGATTACACACCTGGCCAGCAAAGCCTTTGAATTCTGAAGGTGACTGAATGCTTGAAATTCAATCTGTGTCTGAAGTTCAGTCTGAGTGGATGATGGTTTTTCTCCTTCAAAATAATGGGAAACAATGGTAAAAATGTCCACACATGCAATTATTTTTCTTGAGGAAGTGAGGGAGTTACATAACATTTGTGTTGCTCCTCTGTAGCTCAGCTAAAGTGAACCAAGGGGAATAGTGTGAGCTGCTTTTATTGGAATAACAGGGTAAACCAAAGGCATTCCCAGAGAGGCTAATAATGCTAATGGGCCCTGCGTCAGATATAATTAATCCTATGTGGGATGTTAATGTGATTGGAAAACATCAAATCACCCTGTAGATCAAACTCGGAAAAGATCTGTTATCAAGATCCTTAAGATATATAAAGAAAAAAGGGGAAATCCATCATAAATCTATAGAAATGTGGTGCCATTTGGAGGGATGTGAGCCAGTGTTGTCTGCTCTTCAGGGTAGTGAAGGACGGCAGAAAATCTGTGCCAATATTTACTGCCATTTATCCCAGTAAACATGTCTTCTTGAACTGTTGGCTCACACTGATCCCATGACAGATGACACGGTATGTCCCCGAGCAAATTAAAGTGCAGGAAGCATGGCGCTAATATGGTGCTCATGTGTGCTGTGCATCCATGTGATAAAATGTGCCTCTTTACATTAAGTATAACATGTGCATATAAAAACACATCCTGAGGAAAAAAGCACCCATGAGTAGGGCTGTGCAATTAATCGTATTTTAATCTCGATTACGATTTTGGCTTGCAACGATTACGAAAACAATGTAATCGAAATAAAACGATTATTATTTTTATTAAAAACATTTTTTATTTTTTTTTATTGGTTTTTCAGTTGAATTATACTTAAAGTTCAGGGTAATCAACTGTTAACATACTGTTCACATTTTTTTTTTCAATATATGGATGTTTTCAAAGTAAATGGATAATCGTTTTTAATAATCGTGATATCAATTATTGACCAAAATAATCGAGATTATGATTTTTGCCATAATCGCACAGCCCTACCCCTGAGTTATTAACCCTGTCGCACAGTGATGTGATGTGTCTCTGACTCATGGATTTGAATCCTTTTAAATAGGTCGTCTTATTATTTTTGTGGGTTTTCCCTTAACTGTATTGTGTTCTATAGAGAGGTGAAGTCCCGCCCTTCTACTTCCGACCCATGGGACCTTATTTCGGAAAAAGTATGTATTGAAGTCAATGGAGAGAGAGTCATGAATTACACATATGATGTTTGTCAATCTTAACAAATCATTTCCATGTCAAAAAAGTCACAGTTTGTCGTAAAACTGTTGAAATATAAGACTATGAAAAATACGCAACTAGAAAGACTACAAATCCCAGAATCCCGGTCCTGCATGCTGGCTCTTAGGAACCGACTAACTCCCCTTGTGTGTATGTACAGCTCTCAACATGCCCAGACTTGGAGTGATTTTCACCTCTTTTAATACTTTCCGCCTCATTCTGAAAGAAAGAGGTGAAATGTGCCAACGTGACGGCCGTCTTGGTGTGTGGTGCGAGATGGGAGATGTAGTTCATTGAGCGGTTTCACACAAACAAAAGTGTTACTTCACAGTTTTACGACACATTCTTATTTTTTTGACTTGCAAAATTATCTTTTAAATTGACAAACATCATATGTGTAATTCGTGGCACAATTCAAACGGGATCAAAAGATAATCTTTCTCTCTCCATTGACTTCAATACATACTTTTTCCGAAATAAGCTCCCATGGAGCTCCCCCGGAAAGGGAGGGACTTCGCCTCTCTATTGGTTTTAGTGCATGTAAATGGTCTGCAAAGGCTACAATCCCTGTGTTCCCTCCAGAGGAAGTGTCTCTCCCTCACATTTAAACCCATTTCTATCCTTTGTGTCCTTTATCTATTCCAGGCAAAACACAATTTGACATTGAAATCCACATGAGCATTTAGCATCTAGGCTGAATTGTATTATCTCTCCCATGTTCTCCTTTCATCTCTGTCTTCGTATGTCAACTGTTCTTCTTCCTCTTGTCTTTTATTATCTTCCCTTCCCTCTTCTTCAGTCATTTCTCATTTCTTCTCACCTCCCATTATTCACCCTGCCAGCTTCTCGTCGGCATGCTTTTGAACTGTTGCTATCAACCCTCCATCATACACCCCCCCCCCCCCCCTCTGTACATGCACTATCAAACAGAATATATAGGAACGTGTTAATTATTAACGGTTATTATCATATACTGCAAATTAGGTTAACTCATTAATTACCAGAGGCTACTAAAGCCATTATAGCAGGAAGACGCAGATACTAAGGGGGGAGTCTTTGGGCCTACATCCTGACAATTCTCACACATTACACACACACACTCTTGTTTCTCACACACACTGCACACACACTCTTGTTTCTCACACACACTGCACACACACTCTTGTTTCTCACACGCACTGCACACACACACACTACTGCTTCTCTCACACACTACTGCTTCTCTCACACACTGCACACACACTCTTGTTTCTCTCACACACCGCACACACACACTTGTTTCTCTCACACACTGCACACATACACACTTGTTTCTCTCACACACTGCACACACGCTCTTGTTTCTCTCACACACCACACACACACTTGCTTCTCTCACACACCGCACACACACTCTTGTTTCTCTCACACTGCACACACACTCTTGTTTCTCTCACACACCAACCACACACACACTCTTGTTTCTCTCACACACCACACACACACTACTGCTTCTCTCTCACACCGCACACACACTCTTGTTTCTCACACGCACTGCACACACACACACACACTACTGCTTCTCTCACACACTACTGCTTCTCTCACACACTGCACACACACACTCTTGTTTCTCATCTGAACTCGCTTTGGTGCTTTATTTCACCTCACTTTCCCTGTTCCCCTTCTCCCCTAATTACATCGTTATTCAAGATACATTTGACATTTTAAAAAGTCCAAAAAACTAACCGTGTCCACCCTGCAACGTACTACACATGTCACACCTGCAGTCACACCCATATCCTGTAGAAACACGTACATTAAAGGACATTAATCATTCAAATAAAGTGATAATAATGTCTTCTGTGTCTCTGTTTCCAGGCCAAGTCGTGTATCTGCCACATGTGCGGCGCCCACCTCAACCGACTGCACTCCTGCCTCTACTGCGTGTTCTTCGCCTGCTTCGCCAAAAAACACATCCACGAACATGCCAAGAGCAAAAGGCACAACCTAGGTACGACACACACACACACACACACACACACACACACACACACACACACAGGTGCAGCTACTGTTTTGAAGGGTTTTGCACATCAAACAAAACTGGTAACACGGGGCATCAGACCTGTAATTATTCCCCTTTGCCTTAATGAGCTGCCTCCTAAACACACACACACACACACACACACACACACACACACACACACACGCACACGCACACACAGGTGCAGCTGCAGGAGCAGGTGTGTTTTGGAGGGTTTTGCACATTGTGTAACACCAGGCATCAGACCTGTAATTATCCCCCTTTGCTTTAATGAGTTGCCTCCTAAACACACACACACACACACACACACACACACACACACACACACACACACACACACACACACACTCACACTCACACGCCTCTCCTCTCCTCTCCAAACAAAGGCAGCTAAAGGGGATAATTACACAGCTGAGTGGCTGATGATCACTGACAGCCAATAAACACCAGAGTGTATGTCTCTGTTTTTCTGTGCAATTCAGCATTAATACCTTATGAATACAATATATATGTAAATTATATAAATATTATTAAATTATAACAAATTAAAAGATGTATATATATTTATACATCTTTTAATTTGATTTAGTCTTTTATTGGACATTTTTACTTTAACTCATTCTTATATAAATATTTTTATTCTTTGAACTTTTATTGTACATTTAATTTATTTTCTTACGTCTATGTTATTACTTTTGATCTATTGTTTTTATTATTATTATTTATTCATTTTAACAAACGCCAATTTCCCCCCGGATACATAACATCGTATTATTCTGATTGAATAATTCTTTAAATGTATTCCTGTTTAGAACATATTCCCCAACACACACACACACACACACACACACACACACACACACACACACACACACACACACACACACACACACACACACACACACACACACACACACACACACACACACACACACACACACACGGCTCGTCACTGCCATCAAACACAATAATCTACAGCAGCTTATTACGCAACGTGCTGCAACATCACTGCAACACAGGCCTCATGAGGGATGTTAAAGTCACCTGAGTATTCAGCCTCAGTTTTAGCCCATTACAGTGAACTCATGCTGCAGTGAACTCACTAATGAAAAAGGACTCAGGTCTGTCTTTGTGGCTGATTAAAATTAAGCAGATTTACACCGAAAAGTCTATTTCAGTCGGTTAAAGCTTCCTCCAAAACCCTTTAAAACATTCAGTGGTTTGTGGAGAACAGCAACAAAAAAGAGATTTGTTTTGACAGGATTATATTCCAGGTCAGAGGAGCTAAAGTAAAGCATTGCACATCAGTAGTAATCTGCATAGGATTGTGTTGGGAAAATAGTGAATGTCCTCTTCCAATATCAGAGTAACATGATAACAAAGGTATCCCAACTGTAGCTGTGTGCATGACAGGATGTATGATTACCTAGAAGAGCATCAGGACTGTTTGAGGCATATGATAGCTATGTGATTAACATGATGATTCAGCCTCTATGGAGATAGACATATGACAAGCATGCTCATTGACGTGGAGCTAATCTGAAGTAAACATTGAATACTGCTTTCTATTCCTCCATCTTGTGACTGTGTAACTCCCTCTCTTGGATATCAGCATGTGAAGGACACTGTTCAGGAACTAGTTGATGCTCTGTATGTGATGACTACTTCCATTCTGGAGAGGATCACAGATACATGGATCCTGAGATTGAAGCTCAAGCCGGTGACCAGTGAGATTTTCCTAACAGATTGGTTGGAAATCGTCCCTTAAAGACGACTTGAGAGGAGGTTGCTTTGTTGGCGGGCGTTCACCGTGGGAAATTGGGAAAAGTTGTATTTAAATACCCTGAATAAAATATTAGCATCAAATGGATGTCTCCTCCAGATTTGAACACTGACAGAGTGTGTGTTTTGCTGCGAACAGTTGGCTGTGTTCCTCCCACAGGGACACGCAGCCTGCAATAATAAAAAATGCACAGAAATCTCTGAATGATTGCCGAGCAGATTGCTGAGTATTACCTGTTTAAGCGCTGCAGGGAACATGCAGTCTGGTGAAGTCTCTGGTGAATCTGAAGCAGTCTGGAAACTGATACAAGTGGTGCAAAAAATGCGGAGTTTTGACATGAAGATGGGTGATAACACAAGTGTATTTGTAATTTACCAGGATTTTGCACATATCTGCAACTCTACAGGTGAAGAATATCCTCTCGTTAGACGTTTTTGATGTTCTGTAGTTCCTTTAAAGCCGAACATTAGCCTCCTTTAGCTTAGCGGTGGTGACGTGAAGTCATGTGACCGTGCCGTAGTTCAACATTAGCCACCTTTAGCTTAGCGGCGGTGACGTGAAGTCATGTGACCATGCTGCATTTCCTTTATAGCCCAACATTAGCCACCTTTAGCTTAGCGGCGGTGACGTGAAGTCATGTGACCGCGCTGTAGTTCCTTTATAGCCCAACATTAGCCGCCTTTAGCTTAGCGGTGGTGACGTGAAGTCATGTGACCGTGCTGTAGTTCCTTTATAGCCCAACATTAGCCACCTTTAGCTTAGCGGTGGTGACATGAAGTAATGTGACCGTGCTGTAGTTCAACATTAGCCACCTTTAGCTTAGCGGCAGTGACGTGAAGTCATGTGACCGTGCTGCAGTTCCTTTATAGCCCAACATTAGCCGCCTTTAGCTTAGCGGTGGTGACATGAAGTAATGTGACCGTGCTGTAGTTCCTTTATAGCCCAACATTAGCCACCTTTAGCTTAGCGGTGGTGACGTGAAGTCATGTGACCGTGCTGTGGTTCAACATTAGCCACCTTTAGCTTAGTGGCAGTGACGTGAAGTCATGTGACCGTGCTGTAGTTCCTTTATAGCCCAACATTAGCCGCCTTTAGCTTAGCGGTGGTGACGTGAAGTCATGTGACCGTGCTGTGGTTCCTTTTATAGCCCAACATTAGCCACCTTTAGCTTAGCGGTGGTGACGTGAAGTCATGTGACCGTGCTGTAGTTCCTTTATAGCCCAACATTAGCCTCCTTTAGCTTAGCGGTGGTGACATGAAGTCATGTGACCGTGCTGTAGTTCCTTTATAGCCCAACATTAGCCACCTTTAGCTTAGCGGTGGTGACATGAAGTAATGTGACCGTGCTGTAGTTCAACATTAGCCACCTTTAGCTTAGCGGCAGTGACGTGAAGTCATGTGACCGTGCTGTAGTTCCTTTATAGCCCAACATTAGCCACCTTTAGCTTAGCGGTGGTGACGTGAAGTCATGTGGCCGTGCTGTAGTTCCTTTATAGCCCAACATTTTCTGCATTGGCCTACATAAATGCGTCATCACTGCACCACTGTATGGAGGGGGGAAAGGAAGGTGCAGAACCTCCCTGATCTGATGGGACAGGGTAAAGGAAAGACAGTGTGATAATGGTAAAAGTGCAATTAGATGAAATCCCTTTTTACAATCGAGAATATCGACAGGGTTATCAGGTAACCATGGGAACAGGAGGAAGGCAACAAGAGGAGAGAATGGAGACAAGAGATGATCCTCGAAAATCAAGGCTGCAAACAGCATTCAGTAAATAGCTGTGAGTGAGGATGCAGATGATGAGAGAAGGAAAGAAAGGAGGAGGATGTTTAATGGAGGCTAATTCATCAGGGGTTCGTTATTGACGACTTAATTACCTCCTGAAAAGTCTGCTGAGATCTGCCCTTTTTTTCAGTTCTCTCTATCTCCATACGTAGCATTTGATTCAGAAGCTAACCTAATTAAACTGGGAAACACACACACACACACACACACACACACACCAGAGGGGGTCTTCCTGAGCAGAGCGATAAGGAGGAATCACAGAGACAGATTCAGGCTGCAGCAGCGACACGGCAGTGAGACGATGGTAAAAACCTAATTCTATTATGTGGAGAATAAATAAAAAATATATATCTGGCATCGCCGCATTTAATCCAGAAGGATGACGCCTTGTGTTGAAGATAATATGCAGTCTAATGTCTCTTCTGTTTCCGCTGCCTCTTAAGAATGTGCTTTTCTCTCGTAAACGATATACAGACGAACAAATGGCATCCTTTTAAGGTACCCTATTCTGCTTCTTGGGGGTTTTCCCTTCCCTGTATTCTGTTATATGCTCATTCTCAGGTTAGTATCAGTATGTGTTGCTTCCACAGTGACGTGTTTCCATGCTTTAATGTTCAGGAAAGGGAAAACTTAAATCCACCCGTGGGGTATTTACTGACGTATTTGAAGTCGTAGAAAAAAAATGTGTCCACCTTATTTCCGGATAACAACCAAAAACACATTCAGAAAAACATCAACTTCGACACAAGGGAAGTGATTAAAGTGATTCATTTCTGGGTTTTAGGACTCATTCCTGCACCACTCTTCTGCACCTGTTCCTCTCCTCTCATCCTTTGGCTCTCTCTCTCCGACAACCAAACAGCTGATGTGTCAGCAGATACCTGGCCATGGTAACGTGGCCTGAATTGGAAACAAAAGAGTGAGAGATGTAGCAGTTAGCGGTTAGCGTAGCAACACAGCAACCCTTCTTCACCCTCTATGATTCACTAACAGCTTCCTCATTCATTCTTTGTTTTCCGTCTCTCGTTTGTCCTATATCTAATTTCTAAGAAAAGTTTAATTTCTGAGAAAAGTGAAAATTCTGAGAAAAAGTCCAAATCTGAGAATTAAGGCCGCTACACACCCACCTGAGACCAAAGAACGCGTACCAAAGGTGTCCCGACTTTTACGTCAGCTTCGTCGCCTGCGTCGGCTGCGTCGGCCGCTACGCCGCCCGCCTACGAACACACCGCAAATACTTCAGTCGACGAGTGGCAATAACTGTCCTTACCAGCAGGCAGCGGTAGTGTGAACAGCCAATCAGAGTGATTGCTTGGGCCGACTTTCTCTAACCTCCCGCGGCCGATTCAACATGTTGAATCGGCCGCGGGAGGCGTCGGGAGGTGTGAAAAGGTGCCGTAAAGAGACAACGGTGCGGGACACACAAACCTGAGTAGGGCGCCGCGAATGCCCGACTGCCTCTGACGGCCTCTGACGGCCTCTGACTCCCAAAATCGGGCTGGTGTGTCCGGGCCTTAAAAGTCAAAGTGAAAAAAAAGTCAAAATCTAACAAAAAAGTCAATTCTCAGAGAAAAGTAAAAAAAACAACCTTCTTTGTTTTCCGCCTCTCTTCTGTCCTTGCAGCCATTGACCTGCTGTACGGAGGGATTTACTGCTTCATGTGCCAAGACTACATCTATGACAAAGACATGGAACAGATTGCCAAAGAGGAGCAGAGGAAAGCCTGGAAGATGCAAGGTATGACGGCCAAACACACACTTTAAGAGCTATTCAGCGTTTTGTGATATTTTTGTGATATATATTTTTATCCTGCATAAGATTCTCTAACTTGTTTGTTTGACATATGAAGTGTGTTTATTATATGTGTGTGTGTGTGTTTGTGTGTTTGTGTGTGTGTGTGTGTGTGTGTGTGTGTGTGTGTGTGTGTGTGTGTGTGTGTGTGTGTGTGTGTGTGTGTTTCAGGGATCGGGGAGAAGTACTCGACGTGGGAGCCCACCAAGAGGGAGCTGGAGCTGCTCCGCCACAACCCCAAGAGGAGGAGAATCACCTCCAACTGCACTATTGGTCAGTGACACACACAAGCGTGCACACACACACACAGAAGCGCACACACACACACACACACACACACAAAAGTCAAAATTCTGAGAAAAGTCCAAATCTGAGAAAAAAAATTAATTCTGAGAAAAAAGTCAAATTCTGAGACAAAAAGTCAAAATAAAAAAGTCTGAGAAAAAACTCAAAATTGTAAGAGAAGTCAAAATCTGAGAAAGGAGTGAAATTGTAAGAAAAAAGTCAAATTCTGAAAAAAGTCCAATTCTGAGAAAAAAGTCAAAATCTGAAGAAAAAGTCAAATCCGACAGTTTTTGTTGTCCTATTACAATACCGCTCCTCACTGTACAGATTTCTTACATTAATTATTTGATAATAAAGCACACTTATCAAACAGTATTGCTAACAATGGCTAACCCCGTAAGCTGTAAACAAGCTTCAACAAGGTTCATTGAAACTCTCCGGGTGTTTCTCAATGTCAAGGAAGGATGCTCCAGAGCCACTATTTCAAGGATGCTACGTCATCAAGTCCCGCCGAAGGACTGTTCCAATGTCCAGGCTCCTTGGAATTCTACCGAGCCCGGCGTCCTTCGTAGCGAGAAATTTCGAGGCTGCACATGTGTAGACTCCGCGGTCTTAAAATCCCCACAATGCTTTGCACACGGACCAATTTCCAAATCTTTGGCGGAAATCGCGCTAAGGCGGGTCCTCGCATATGACGCACACCTGTTCCACCATTCTTCGTTTTCCGAGGCTAGGAAGGATTCTTGCCTCGCTTCTGAAGGACCTGACTCGGAGGGACATGTCCTACCAAGGAAGCGTCCTCGACATTGAGAAACACCCTCCTTCAGTAAACTAGTATGTGACTTCACTCCCATTCACAACCTCCGACTTCTAATGGAAATGGAAACGCAGCGCAAACAATCTGACTGCTTTCCCTCCCTTTTTCTTTGTCCCCTGCAATCCTTTCTGCATGTGAACATTAAGAGAACACTTTCATAATATAACATTTTTAGTTCTTCCGTAATATTTCTGCCACATTAAAAGTCAAAATTCTAAGAACATAATCTAAGAAAAAAGGCAAAATTCTTAGAAAAAAAAGTCAAATTCCACCATGTTTTTTTGTACTATAATGGCGCAGTTCCACTACAGCGCGGAGCTCGCTTTAAGCGTGCCGTGTCGTGCCGTTCCCGTTTTTGGTTGCGCTTCCACTAGGCCTAGTTCCGGCCCGGCCCGGCGCGGGGCCACTTTTTCACGTCTTTTCTGGCCCGAGAAAATTGTGGTTCTATCGAGGCCAACAAACAGGGCTGAGTCGGGCTGAGTATGCTAAACTAGAGAGAGGAGCGCTGGCAAGGGGGGTACAACTACAACAAGATGGACATATTTGACCGTGATTTAATTGTAATACACGTTTCTAAATGATGCCGAAGTAACAACATACTGATACCGGTTAGTAAAAACCATGAATTAATGCTTTGTCAAGTCTGCAGACAGACGGCAGGGGAAAAACCTTTTAAAATGCGTGTTTTTCTAGATGGAGATTGGCTAAGCTAACGCAGTATATGCTCCGACCGTCCACACTCACAACAACGGCCTATACAGACATACATAAAGCAGCGACTGTATTCACCATGACACAGGCAGTCTGTGGTTTGTACTGGTTTAACTTTTGTCTAGTTTCTGAACAGATATGAGGAGCTGTGAGCTCTGAGTGCTAACAGCTAACGGCTGTGTTGTGTTTCTGGAGTTCTCATTGAAGATGACGTCACGGCTCCGCCTACACTGCGTTACTATAGTAACTACCCCAGTTCCTAAACTGTAATGGAAGCGCAGCATGAAGTGAGTCGGCCCTGTTAAGGCCAAGCCGTACCGAGCCGTACCGAGCGTGGCCGAGGCCGACCGTGTAGTGGAAATGTGCCATTACAATACCCCTCCTCACTGTACAGATTTTCTACATATTCATTATTTGATAATAATGAATAAATCATTTCTTTATCCCCCACAATCCTTTTCTCCTCCCCTCAGGCCTGAGAGGGCTGATCAACCTGGGCAACACGTGCTTCATGAACTGCATCGTGCAGGCGCTGACTCACACTCCTCTGCTCAGAGACTTCTTCCTGTCCGACAGACACAAATGTGAAATGCAGAGCAACTCCTGCTTGGTGTGTGAGATGTCGCAGCTCTTCCAGGAGGTAACTGATCCTAAAATAATATGTTCAAATGAGTAGAAGGAGAGGAGTTTCATACACACACCAGAGATGGCAAAAGTACTCACATCCTTTACTCAAGTAGAAGTACAGATACTCGTGTTTAAAAATACTCTGGTAAAAGTAGAAGTACTGACTAAACTTCTTTACTCAAGTGAAAGTAAAGAGGGCTTTGAAATGTACTTAAAGTGGACCTATCATGCTATATTTGAATAATATAGTGTAGGACCATACCTATATAAGGCATATTTATACTTTTATTTTTTCAAAATACCAAACAGATCATGCATTTTAGCCATGCCTCATTTCGCTCAATTTGACAATTTTTTAGCTCTGTTTGTGCAAGGGCAGATTCTGTGAGAACAGCACCATCTACAGGCCTGGCATATGTACTACAGCGTCTCCAGCGCTTTCGAACGGCAATGGCCGTGGCTGTCTCCTCCTGATTGGTGGAGTTGGCCCAATAGCCGTAGCGCCACCGTCCTGACGTCAGGACAGTGTTCAAATCTGGATCAGTTTTTATCAGATCCGTTGCAGCCCCTTTTTTAGAGATTTGGGTATGGAGGAAAATAGAGAGGGTTGTGTTTTCTGACACTTGGTGAGTTCCCTGGAACACCGGGGACACATATTCATGTATAAAAGACGTACCAAAGTGCATTTTGCATGATAGGTCCCCTTTAAGTAAAAAGTACCCATAACTAGCAGCTGTTTTAAAGAGTACCTGACCTCCCTTTATATTAATAGAACAATAATGTCATTATTAGCTAATGAATGTTTCCATGCTGAACAACGGCAACATGACAACGTTTTCATTGGTCCCTCTTCTTTAGAGAAGACCAGGAAATGATGGATACACGGATCGTGTTCAAATCAATAGGCACGCAATGACTCTAAATAATAATGATCACGCCACCAAACACACATTCAAACTAAAGGAACCAGCCTGTTTGGAAAATGTGAGAAGTAGAAAGTACAGGTATTTGTGTTCAACATGTAAGAAGTAGAAAGTACAGGTATTTGTGTTCAACATGTAAGAAGTAGAAAGTACAGGTATTTGTGTTCAACATGTAAGAAGTAGAAAGTACAGGTATTTGTGTTCAACATGTAAGAAGTAGAAAGTACAGGTATTTGTGTTCAACATGTAAGAAGTAGAAAGTACAGGTATTTGTGTTCAACATGTAAGAAGTAGAAAGTACAGGTATTTGTGTTCAACATGTAAGAAGTAGAAAGTACAGGTATTTGTGTTCAACATGTAAGAAGTAGAAAGTACAGGTATTTGTGTTCAAAATGTAAGAAGTAGAAAGTACAGGTATTTGGGTTCAACATGTAAGAAGTAGAAAGTACAGGTATTTGTGTTCAACATGTAAGAAGTAGAAAGTACAGGTATTTGGGTTCAACATGTAAGAAGTAGAAAGTACAGGTATTTGTGTTCAAAATGTAAGAAGTAGAAAGTACAGGTATTTGTGTTCAACATGTAAGAAGTCAAAGTAAAAAGTCATCAGGAAAATAAGTAGTGGAGTAAAGTACTGATACCAGAAACATGTACTTAAGTACAGTAACAAAGTATTTGTACTCAACTACTTCCCACCTCTGACAAACACACACACACACACACACACACACACACACACACACACACACACACACTCTTCTCTCTCCAGTTCTACTCAGGCCACCGGTCTCCTCACATCCCGTTCCGTCTCCTCCACCTGGTCTGGACTCACGCTCGTCACCTGGCAGGATACGAGCAGCAGGACGCCCACGAGTTCCTCATTGCCGCGCTGGACGTCCTGCACAGACACTGCAAAGGTTTCACACACACATCACACACACTTTAGATTTTACTGCATCGAGAGGAAGGAGCTCACACACTCATGAGACGCAGAATCTCTTGTCTTGTTGATATGATTGGACGATACTACAAAAAATCCTGATCAGAGCCTCCTTAGTTTTCACATAAATACACTTTTGCTGACTGTGTGTGTGTGTGTGTGTGTGTGTGTGTGTGTGTGTGTGTGTGTGCGTGTGCGTGTGCGTGTGTGTTTCGTTCTCCTTTGCAGACGACAACGGGAAGAAAGCCAACAACCCGAACCACTGTAACTGCATCATCGATCAGATCTTCACGGGGGGGCTGCAGTCTGACGTCACCTGCCAAGTGTGCCAGTAAGTGTGTACTTTTTTTTAAATGATTTGCTCGTTGTTGGCATATACTGTACGGTGTGTTTTGTGTTATTGTTTTTGTTCTGTTATAACGCCTTAATGCTTTGGCAATACTTTGTTTAAAAGGTTTGTGTGTGTGTGTGTGTGTGCGTGCGTGCGTGCGTGCGTGTGTGTGTGTGTGTGTGCGTGTGTGTGTGTGTGTGTGTGTGTGTGTCGGTGGCTGTTTATTGCCATAAAAACCATCATCTGTTTACACTGTATCGGCAAAGAAAGCAGAATTTGACCTACGATAATACTTTAATGGTCAGATCAAGTCTGAAATGTGTCCTTGCATCCCAGCAGCTCCATGTGTAACATCAACAGACACCCCCCCCCCCCCCTCTTTCTTCACTCTGTTCTCCATCAGTCACTGAGCTGCTTCACTGCAGCAACCTTTAATGGCTTTTACTGTCTGTGGCTCTCTAGCTCCACCTGCTGGACAAAGGGAGAATATTCAACTCTGGGATCTTATACTTGAAAATGCATTCCTACTTTTTTATCAAAATTCAATATTCAAGGCTTTTATTGTCATATGTACATAGCTACAGTGTAGTTATGACAATTACATTCTTAGGTCACTTTAAGCCATATAGGATGTTTTAAAGCTGATACATGGCAATATACTAATAAAACAACAACAGAGTGCTGCTAGTGCGGTACTTTTTCTACTCTAGGGCTGCACGGTGTGGGAAATAATGAACAAATTGCAATTATTTTGACTGATATGGCAAATGCGAAATTATTCACAATATTAGACATTGATTGTTTGTTATGTGATCGATTGTTTACTTTACATCATTACTCTCAGTGTCTTGGAAAAATATATCAAAATGTGACATATGTTTTATTTAGTCTGTAGAATATGATAAGTAGAAAGGGATATCTCTGCAGCACCACAATACTTCATTTAAAATGTAATTTAACACGTTTTTCGCCTTTTTAAAAAGATATTGAGCTCCATACAATATGGTCGTACAAGAGCCCAGATGGATTTGCAGGCCAAGTGCAGTAGTTTAAAATCTCCCTTTTGTTTCTCTCTCACTTATAAGTCTATCTGAATAAATAAAAAAATCACACTGTACATTTTACATTTATATTCAATCTAATATTTACTAATCCATTCCTTGCACAATTAATATATATATAATATCCATTGTTACTTTATATTTGTATTTCCACATGTATATTTTTTACTTTTTTAATGCTATTTTATTTCCATTTGAGACGTTTACATTTTTTGGAACATTTTATATCTAGTCTTTAATTTTGCTTTGTATTTTTATGCTTCTGCTGCAACGCAAAGATTTCCCAAATTGGGATCAATAAAGTACTTCTTATCTTATCTTAAGGAAAACTACTAAGTGAAGTAAAGTGTGACTGGAAGACTAATCATCAGCGAATGCGAATATATATATTAAAGTAATTTTTTTTAATCTTTAATGTTTTTTATGCATGCTTCTTACTTAAAGGGGACCTATCATGCAAAATGCACTTTTGTACGTCTTTTCTACATGAATATGTGTCCCCGGTGTTCCAGGGAACTCACCAAGTGTCAGAAAACACAACCCTCTCTATTTTCCTCCATACCCAAATCTCTAAAAAAGGGGCTGCAACGGATCTGATAAAAACTGATCCAGATTTGAACACTGTCCTGACGTCAGGACGGTGGCGCTACGGCTATTGGGCCAACTCCACCAATCAGGAGGAGACAGCCACGGCCATTGCCGTTCGAAAGCCCTGGAGACGCTGTAGTACATATGCCAGGCCTGTAGGTGGTGCTGTTCTCACTGAATCTGCCCTTGCTAAAACAGGGGTAAAAAAGTCCAAATTGAGCAAAATGAGGCATGGCTAAAATGCATGATCTGTTTGGTATTTTGAAAAAAAAAAAGTATAAATATGCCTTATATAGGTATGGTCCTACACTATATTATTCAAATATAGCATGATAGGTCCACTTTAACATTAAGCTGTCTTTGGCTCTTTTCTGCTGTAACAATGTACATTTCCCCTCTGTGGGACTAATTAAGGGATTCTGATTCACTGCGCTGATGATTAGTCTTCCAGTCACACTTGACTTCACTTAGTAGTTTTCCTTTATTTAGACAGACATTTTCGGGAGGTTTTAAACTACTGCACTTGGCCTGCAACTCCTAATGTCCATCTGATTCTGATTCTGATTCTTGTGTGTCTGAATAAAGGAAAACTCCACAGTGAAGTGTGACTGGAAGACCAATCATCATCAGTGAATCTGCCGTGAGATATGTGCAGCCGCGTGTTCCTCTTCTCATGCAGACTTGTGTGTGTCTGTGTCCTCCTCTCAGCGGCGTCTCCACCACCATCGACCCGTTCTGGGACATCAGTCTGGATCTGCCCGGCTCCTCCTCCCCCTTCTGGCCTCTCAGCCCCGGGGGGGACGGGGCGGCGCTGAACGGAGAGAAGAACCACGCCTCGGGGGCCACGACGCTCACAGACTGTCTGCGCAGGTAACGGGCGTTAAAGGTCTCCTATTATACTATTTTTAGGCATTTATTATAGGTCTCAGATATATAAAAAACATGTCTATGAAGTGTTTTGCTCAAAATACCAAACAGATCATGTTTTGTAGACATCCCTCATATCCCTCTGTTTCAGCCCTGTTACTAAAGTGCTGATTCTGGGTCTAAAGTAAAAAAAAAATAAGACATTTGAAAAGAAAAAGAGGGGGCGGAGCTTATGCAGGAGAATTCTACCCAGAAACTCAGCTAAATGCTGCGGTGATTAAACACCATATCATGTTCCAAACCACATCAAGGATTATTTCTGAAACAGTATGGAGCTCAAATGCTTTTTCTCTCTCAGGTTTACCACAAGCTGAGTTCCTTTTTATATTTCCTGCTTCTTCACACACATGCTCTCTCCAGTACAGGTTAGCTCTGAGTGTTAGCGCTGCTTGCTAATGTAAACAAAGACCATATTACGTCCAAAACACGTCGGGCATTGTTTCTGATAGCAACGTTTCTGATAGGCCCGTGGGTGTAAAGAACGCCAACATTTCAGATATTACATAATATCGGACGCAAATCTGGATCAGCTCCGTTATACCCCCGTTTTTAGAGATGTGTGTACGGAGAAAAAGAGAGAGGGTTTTGTTTTTTGACACTTTGTGAGTTCCCTGACACACCGGGGACACATAGTTATGTAGAAAATACATCAAAAAGTGCATTTTGCATGATAGGTCCCCTTTAAGGCGCACACACACACACACTCACACACTCTCTCTCTCAAAATCTCCTCTGGTTTCAGGTTCACTCGGCCGGAGCACCTCGGCAGCGGCGCCAAAATCAAGTGCAGCGGTTGCCATAGTTACCAGGAGTCGACCAAACAGCTGACCATGAAGAAACTTCCCATCGTCGCCTGCTTCCACCTCAAAGTGAGACTGACTGATGATGATATATATATATATAGATATTATTAATCTAAGCGGAGTTATAATTCTCTGTTTCTGCTTCCAGAGGTTTGAGCACTCGGCCAAACTGCGGAGGAAGATCACGACGTACGTCTCCTTCCCTCTGGAGCTGGACATGACGCCCTTCATGGCCTCCAGGTGAACACACAATACACACAATTCAATAACGCAGCATCCACACAGCGGCGTGCGTTGAAGCTTGCCGGTGGGCGTGTCTGAAACTCGACCAACAACCAATAACATGAATCTCCCGCCCCGGACACACAAGCACGCAGTTTGATTGGCAAGAGCTTGTACTGGCATATGATTTGATTGGCTGACACTTCCGTCGAAGCTTCAAAAGTTGAACATTGCTCAACTTTTGAAGCGAGCAACGCGAGCAAAGCGAAGCGACAGAACCGCAATGCAGTTCGGCAAAGCGTGACGTCACCACATTCAAAGTGAATGGGCAGAAGCGTTGAAGCTTCAACGCACGCCGCTGTGTGGACGGGCCGTCAGATGTGCATCTAGGGAAAGCAATTTCTGACAGTCTGATATGCAGGGCTTGTGAGGTTTATCTCCAAAAAGGTGTGTGTGTGTGTGTGTGTGTGTGTGTGTGTGTGTGTGTGTGTGTGTGTGTGTGTGTGTGTGTGTGTGTGTGTGTGTGTGTGTGTGTGTGTGTGTGAGTGTGTGTGTGTGTGTGTGTGTGTGTGTGTGTGTGTGTGTGTGTGTGTGTGTGTGTGTGTGTGTGTGTGTGTGTGTGTGTGTGTGTGTGTGTGTGTGTGTGTGTGTGTGCAAAAAGACTGATTTCAACCAGTTGCAGATCAATAGTCTCTAATGTGGATGCTTGGTGTTCAGACCGCATCATTTGTCTATATAATGTGTATAAATGGCTCTAAGCTGAGTCGCACTGCAGTAAATACTTTATTTGTTAGGATGGATTTAAAAAGTGAACAGATGTGTTTTATACAAAGAAAAACAGATTTATTGCTGACTCTCTCAAAAACAGTTTTTCACAAGTGTGTCTTGCTGTGTTTCAGTAAAGAGAGCCGGATGAACGGGCAGTACCAGCAGACAGTGGACCCCTTCAACAACGACAACAAGTAAGACCAACATCGCTGAAATGAAAACGGTCTCTTTGGGTGTCCTTCCTGTATTCTGCTTTCTGAAGAAAATGAAATTAAATGCACATACCTTTTCTTTTAAGATAACTCCGGTTTTCTGTGAGGTTAAATCACTGTTTTTGGTCTGGCAAAATCAAAGATAACAACAACGTATAATGGTAAGAATATTCGATGTATAGCTAGACTGGTAACTGTTATTGATCTGTGTGTTTCAGGTACAGTCTGTTTGCAGTGGTGAACCACCAGGGGACGCTAGAGAGCGGCCATTACACCACCTTCATCCGGCAGCACAAGGACCAGTGGTTCAAATGTGACGACGCCATCATCACCAAGGCCAGCATCAGGGACGTGCTGGACAGCGAGGGGTGAGACAGCTTTATTAACTAGTTACTCGCTATTATTCAAACATATATGAACCGTCTGTTCAGTACTGTCGTGACGTGCTAGCTAGACAGCGAGGGGTGAGACTCCTTTATTAACTTGAATCTCTATTATTGAAACACTTCATCACGCTAACTTTAAATAAGAGCAAGAACCTTTACAGGGAGGTGCTGGACAGTGAGGGGTGAGACAGAGCACAGATCAAAAAATGGCCACAACACACATTATAAAGCCTTAACGTCATGGAAGGTTAACCAGGCATTAAGTATGATATAATATTTGTTCTTCACGACACTTTAAATGTGTACCTGTTGCTATGATTTGGAGGCGCGGGACACTCCTGCTCCAGCCGAAAAGGCCGATTTTATAACGGGTTTTAGGGGGAAAAAAGTGGCTAAATGGCTAATTCCACAAGTACCTTAACTACCCCTTTAAAGTGTTTATGGTTAATCATTAATATGCCATACATAGCACTCAGTTAATGATCCACGATGAGAAGTTTTATATAAGGTGTGATATCCTTTTTTCCTATTAAACATCCCCAAGATAACAAAAAAAGTGTAATTTAATGTCTGGTATTGATAGTCAGAGTGGCTCTGGGGGCTCGGCTAACATTATCCTTTTCGTAGTAGAGAAACTTCACATTATAAAGTCCTTTATTTACGGTCCTAAGTAGCCAAACACTGTCAATCAAGCTGGATAAGAGTACACTGTGTTGGAGAAGTTCTGCGTGCAATTCAATCTAGCTTTGTAAGTTTAATATCAACATAAAAACAACTCCAAAGCTGTCTACTATTGTTGTTTCTGTCGCTTCATCGCAGCAGGTACGTCATGACGTGGACATCTCGGGCTTTGGTTGGTTGAAAACCGAACTGGTACCCAATTGGTTCATCGAGCAAACCAAACTACCACCAGCAGAGAGCTTGAATAATATATAGCAGTTGTTGGGGAAATATTTTCCAAAGCCCATAACTTTGACCCAGTTGATCAGTTCATGTCCTGACTGAGTGCACGCACCTGTAACCTTGACTGCTGTGCTCTCCGTGTTCTGTCTCCCTGTTCCTGCCTGTTGGCGTCAGCTGATAGAGGTGTTATGATTCTATCTTGTTATGCACAATGTTGATTATTCTCTCTGAACTAGCTAAATACACGGGTCTGGGGGAGAGTTCTTCAGAATTGACGTGGCAACTCTACCGTGAAGTCTGAACCTCTGACTCTCTGACTTGTTTTGTGAACTCTCCGGCCGAAGCTCCAAATAAACCCATCAGTGTTTGCCATCAAAGCTCCAGCTCTCCCCGTGTCTCCTTTTGAGTCGGTGACTCCTCCTGCATTGCTACACAGAAGTTTCCCCCACAGCAGTGAAAAAGGGGTATTAGTGGTGCTGCAATGTGACCTCATTTGACTTTTCTCTCTCCCCAGGTACCTCTTGTTTTATCACAAACAGTTCCTGGAGTACGAGTAGTTCCCAGCGGAGGAGACGAGAGAGGATTAGTTTCATAGTGGAAAGGAGTGATGAGAGAGAGGCAAGGAAACAAACAGAAACCTGCCTGTATCACTCTTATTGGAACAACTACATATTAACCTAGTTCAACTGTACGACATTCAAGAGAAAACACGTGCAAAAACGAACAAAATGCAAGACGTTTGAACGAGAGATCGGTAGCGGATGTTGCATTAAACATTGTTCACTTGAATTTAAGGATGAAGAAGAATAGTCTTTACTTGATTTCAGACATTAGACGTGTTGCATCTTTACGTTTCCCTCCTTTTCGTCACAGAAGGGCAGAAGGTTATTTTAAACCTTAATTAACCTAGGAGAGGTTTATTTGATCACAGATGCTGTTTCTCACCGTGTAGACGACCAAATATAACAAGGGGGGGGAAGTTGTCTTATTATGCATTTTCGTTTCAAATGCAAAAATCACCTGAAGAATGGAAATATTAACGTTGTATAGAGAGAGAGGTAATTCCATTGATCACCCGTGTCGTTGTCTGTAAGATAGGAAACGTCGTCTATAACGAAGGATTTGTTGCATAGTGAATTGTATATTTTTATACATACTGTAATTTGAATTGTTTGTTTACGATTTAGCATTCTCCCTAAAAGAAATCTCACATCTGTGTTACAGTGTGCCGTCAATCATGGGTTTTTACACAAAAAAGTGAAATAGTGCCGAAATTGTTGTCATGAAAACTGCTGCTATGGCGGATTTTGTTTATTTTATATGTTTCTGTTTTAATTTGTACGGAGGCCAGTGAGAGAAAAAATTGTCGGTTGGAAAGAAAATGATTTAGCTAGAATTATTTTCTATTTCTATATTAACGTATATGTTTAAAAAAGCGATTAAATTATTTGTTTTGTCCGTAAGAAGAAGTCGTTTGTTGTTGTGATACTCACGTCGGCCACACGAGGTATTTTATTTTAACATTCATTGTAGGGGCAAAGTGTTTGCTGCTCTAAATAGGATACAAAATATTCATAATTTCTTTTCAGGTGAGTTTTAATTTGTGTTTTTTTGTCAGCATTTCCATTTTTTACCTTTTTAAAAAGTCACTTAGAAAAGTTATCCTGCAATATATATACTTGTTTTGTCTGGCAAAACTATTTTCCCCACTTGTTTCAACAGTTTCAAAGTAAAACAACACATGTAAACAATCTTAAAAAAACAGCCCTTTTTGTTTTCTCACTTGCCTCTCAGGGCTTCCGTAGTTTTGACTTAAAAATGTCCCAATTTGTTTGCCGTACAAATTCTCCCTTGTTCTGTTGTTGTGATGGTGTGTATCAGGAGTTTGAACCTTCAGTGTTAGCCGTGTGTGTGTGTGTGTGTGTGTGTGTGTGTGTGTGTGTGTGTGTGTGTGTGTGTGTGTGTGTGTGTGTGTGTGTGTGTGTGTGTGTGTGTGTGTGTGTGTGTGTGTGTGTGTGTGTGTGAAAGGGGAAAAAAGCTCATTGTTGGTGTGTTTGTATAAAATGTGTTATTGAGCGTAAAGAGACACAACAAAGTGTGTGTGTGTGTGTGTGTGTTGCTGTTTGTATGCACGTGTGTCGTGCGTATGTTCTTATGTTCGTATACTGAATCAGTACTTTGCATCAGCATGCCGTCAGAGCTGGGTATCACAGTTTGAAGGAGTTTTTTTCCACATGTTGATGATGATGATGTATGTAAAAGTATATATAGTTAGTGTGTAAGAGAAGACAAATGAAGAAGCATCAAAGTGGATTCTGAAGTTCTTAAAATCAGAAAAAAAACGTTTGTTGTTGAGCAGTCTTTCCTCGCACACACACATGTAACTGCTGCAAGAACTGGACACTCGAATAAAGAAAATCTATATCTGTACACACTCTCAGCATCTTATTTACTGTCCTATATGTGTTTGTGTTGAGTTATTTTACTGCATTGTCATATGTAATGTAATATTACTGATTAAATGGTGATATCTAACAGGACTGAGTTTTAAAGTGGCTAAAAACACTTACAAAATAGGAGAATTTACCAGTTTCACTTCAGTTATTTCTGGTTTAATGTTGTCTTATTGTGGGAAATCCAACTTCAAGGAGATTCTGAATCCTTATATGTAAACCATCACCCAACAAATACACAGTACTCATAATTCACATGCATACATAATTGTACATATTTGTGCCAGTATTTGCATGTGTACATTGCTAAACAACAGAGGAATCAGTAACACAAGTACTGGACATAAAAAAAACACATTCACACATACATGTAAATATATCTAATATGTATATATGACCCAAATATGTGTAATCTCTAATCTGTGTGAATCCTGTTTTTCAATCGAACCCTGTTGCTGTTAAACTACTGAATTTCCCCACAGGGATTAATAAAAGTCAATTTTAAAGGTCACCTATTATGCAAAATCCACTTCTTCATGTCTCTTCTACATCACCATGTGTCCCCTCTTCTTCACGTCTCTTCTACATCAACATGTGTCCCCTCTTCTTCATGTCTCTTCTACATCAACATGTGTCCACTCTTCTTCATGTCTCTTCTTCATCAACATGTGTCCCCTCTTCTTCATGTCTCTTCTACATCAACATGTGTCCCCTCTTCTTCATGTCTCTTCTACATCAACATGTGTCCCCTCTTCTTCATGTCTCTTCTACATCAACATGTGTCCCCTCTTCTTCATGTCTCTTCTTCATCAACATGTGTCCCCTCTTCTTCATGTCTCTTCCACATCAACATGTGTCCCCTCTTCTTCATGTCTCTTCTACATCAACATGTGTCCCCTCTTCTTCATGTCTCTTCTACATCAACATGTGTCCCCTCTTCTTCATGTCTCTTCTACATCAACATGTGTCCCCTCTTCTTCATGTCTCTTCTACATCAACATGTGTCCCCTCTTCTTCATGTCTCTTCTACATCAACATGTGTCCCCTCTTCTTCATGTCTCTTCTACATCAACATGTGTCCCCTCTTCTTCATGTCTCTTCTACATCAACATGTGTCCCCTCTTCTTCATGTCTCTTCTACATCAACATGTGTCCCCCTCTTCTTCATGTCTCTTCTTCATCAACATGTGTCCCCTCTTCTTCATGTCTCTTCTACATCAACATGTGTCCCCTCTTCTTCATGTCTCTTCTACATCACCCATGTGTCCCCTCTTCTTCATGTCTCTTCTTCATCAACATGTGTCCCCTCTTCTTCATGTCTCTTCTACATCACCATGTGTCCCCTCTTCTTCATGTCTCTTCTTCATCAACATGTGTCCCCTCTTCTTCATGTCTCTTCTACATCAACATGTGTCCCCTCTTCTTCATGTCTCTTCTACATCAACATGTGTCCCCTCTTCTTCATGTCTCTTCTACATCAACATGTGTCCCCTCTTCTTCATGTCTCTTCTACATCAACATGTGTCCCCTCTTCTTCATGTCTCTTCTTCATCAACATGTGTCCCCTCTTCTTCATGTCTCTTCTACATCAACATGTGTCCCCTCTGTGTAAAGAGACTCTGAAAGTTTCAGGAATAAAGATTCTCTCTCTTTTTGTCCTGATCCATTTCTATAAAAACCTGTCTGAAAATGAGCTGATCAGATTTGAGCCACTTTATGATGTCATAACGATGTTTTGTCTTGTGTAACCATTAGCCAATCAGCAACCAAGGTACCCCCCCCCCCCCCCCCCCACCTTATCACCTGAATCTCCTCCTAGAGCACCATTGTGTTCTTTGTAACCAAATCTCTCTCAGAGGGGCGTGGGGAGGGGCTCCTTATTTTCATCTAAAGTAACAGACAGAGAATCAGCACTTTGGAAACAGGGCTGAAACAGAGGGGATTATGGGATGCTGCAATGATCTGTTTGGTGTTTCAGCCAATCAGAGACAGGTTCTGGATATATCTGAGACCTTTAAGATAATGATGAAAAACAGTATAATAGGGGACCTTTAAACCGACGTTGGATTTCTTAGTTTTTTGCTAAACCTCCTCATCCCCATCCCACTGCAGCCTCCTGCTGCTGCTGGACTCCAGAGAGGTTTTGGTTCTGATTGATCCAGACGGGTCCTGGTTTTAGTGTCTGAGCTCTCTGCTGCTGGGGAACTGAGAAAGAAGATCTCTGGTTTCCGAATGTTTTCAGGTCGGGGAAACAGTGAACACACACACAGGTCTCTGTGGGGCAGGAGTCGTACGTTGTATCATCTGTGGATTGGTTTGAATATGTTGGAAAATCTGTAAAATAGACAGAGGGAAGTGTGCAGATGTTTTATAGTTTAATAATCAGCCCTCAGCAAATTAAAAAAGTATAATGAGATATGGCCCACAAATGAAAACTTGTGCTTGTCTTGTATTGTACTTCTTAAATATAGATGAAAACAGATAGTACACAGTATTAATGTGTTAAAAGGCCCACTCTTCAAATAAATTCAGTCAATTCAAGTTGAAAACATTTTCTATCAAATCTAAGTTGATAAGCAAAAAGCCCGATGACTTATTTTCACAACACGCTTGAAATAAACCCTTCATATTTCCTCTTATCAAGCAATCTGAAGTTTCTGTTTTAAAGGATTAGCTGCCAACAAAATAACTGAAACCCCATGGAGAGATGTGATGTGTAGGCTGTTGTGTTTTTTAAAGCATATTCAAGTATCAAGCATAATTTACCTACATTTGATTGATTTTTCAAACTTATAACAGAACTTATGAGGCAGTATACCTCTAGTGAGTGGCCCAGCCCTTCGTATATTTCTGTATGTGGCCCTCGGTGAAAAAAGTTTGGACACCCCTGGTTTAGTACAAAGAAGGGGAACTTTTTTTTGCACTACTCAATACTGCTCGTCACTGTACACAGGGGCGGACCGGTGTTGTGCCAAATTATGCCCCCCTGTCATGAAATGCCCCCCTTAAAAATATGCTGACAAAGACTATGTAACATTTGTAAACATATATTTTGATTATTATATGACAAATATGTAAAATTAAACAATACATTTTAAAGCACGTGTATACAGACAGGACGTAACAATAATAACAAAAAAAAAAGATTTAAAAAAAAACTGAAAAGGAAGTGGAATGAATTTCGACACCACTACCATCAAATACGGAGCGAAAAGTTTAACCACAAGAATCAAGACTATATGAGCTACCACTAAACAACTCACAGTCTGAAAATTACCATTAATAAAAACCCTGAACGTTTACTTTTCGTTTTAAACATCGTTTTAAGGTGTAAACGTGTCATTTAGAAATGCGCGTTCCCGTGACAAGGGGGGCATTTCATGACGGGGGTGCATCATTTGGCACAACACCGGCCCATCGGGATTTGTCCCGATGGGCCGGTGTACTGCTGTACAGTATTTTACATTAATGATGTGACCCTCTATGTTTCCTGTAGTTATTTAATTAGCTCTTTTCACTGCACTGTTAGTGTACAGTTGTATTATTATGCTGCTGTGTTTATTGTATTTGTGTAGGTCTTTCATTTGTGTGCCACACTCACCTTTAGAGCTCCTCCCTGGTTGGATGACCTCCTCCCACGTCTGCACCTCCCTCCCCTGCTTCTGTTTCGCCTCTTTGGGTTTTTGGTTGGAGGTTTTAGCCTTTCCGCCCCTCACTAAGACGGCCAGCGCTAGAGATAAGCTGGAGAGCAGCAGCATGATGCAGAGAGCCAGCAGAGAGTACAGCAGGATGGTGGAGTCCACTGAGAGGCCTTTAGTATCCTCTGAGGGGGAAGGTACTTCAACCAGGAGCTTTCTGGTGGTCGTAGCTGGGGGAGAGATGAGAGGAAGAGCTCAGAAAAGAGTAGATGACACCCGAAAAACCTGCATTTTCAACCAAGGTGCAACTACCAAGGCAAGGCAAGTTTATTTATACAGCACCTTTCAGCACACGGCAATTCAAAGTGCTTTACAAATTAAAATAAAAGACATTTAAGAATAAATACAGCAGATAATAATAATAAAATGGCATTTAAATACAGGCATTTTTCCAAATCCTGCTGTGACATTAGTCTTTTAATCCTAGATATGTTCTTAAGGTGATAGTATGCAGACTTATTGTTGTAATGTGACTGTTAAAAAATGCAGGTCAGAGTCCATCACTACACCTAGATTTCTTGCTTCATTTGTTGTTTTGAAGTCTGCCGACTTTATTCGTTCCTCCTTTGCTCCAAAAACAATAATCTCAGTTTTCTTGTTGTTCAATTGGAGAAAGTTCCTACTCATCCTGTCATTGAGTGCCACAGTGACGCGTCCTAAAACCCGGAAGTAAGCTGCGCATGGGTTCCTTCGACAAAAACGCAATGCAATTTCTCCATAGGATTTTGGAAAATAGCTGGAAATAAGGTCTGTGGAAAACAAACCTGTTTGATAAATGCACGTTTTGTTCAGCCGGATAATCTCCACATGTCTACCCTACTTTTATAATGTTCAAATCATAAATCTAATGGCCAGAAGCAAAATGCTAACGTTATGCTATAACCGAAATACAGCCGAGTACAGCAGCACGACTTCAACGTCACGCCAACTTAAAGGGGACCTATCATGCAAAATGCACTTTGTGATGTCTTTTATACATAAACATGTGTCCCCGGTGTGTCAAATACAACCCTCTCTCTTTTCCTCCGTACCCAAATCTCTAAAAACGGGGCTACAACGGAGCTGATCCAGATTTCCATCCGCTGTGACGTCATGGACCCACAGAAAGTTGCTATCAGAAACAATGCCTGACGTGTTTTGGACGTAATCTCGTCTTTGTTTACATTAGCAAGGCTAACACTCAGAGCTAACCTGTACTGTAGAGCAGGGGTTCCCAACCCCCGGTCCGCGGACCGGTACCGGGCCGCGGAGGTGTTACTGCCGGGCCGCGAAATAGCTGTGAGTTTATCGTAATATTTGCAGAATTATAAATATATAAAAATATTTTATCATAATATTTTTTTCAAAAAGTGTTTAATTTTCGCACCTATGCCACCAGTCATATTATTTCATCCAGTAGCTAGTTAATCTTTCACCAGAAAACCGTTGAAAATGGCTTTTATGATGTTCCGAGGGATTCGGCGGCTCAGCCTAAGGTCTCAGCCTCTTGTGCGCACGAGCATGTTACCGGTGCGCCAAGTAGGAAGAGGAGCGCACAGGAGACAACCGTTTGATTGCAGACTGTTATGTTTATGTGGGGAAATGGTGGTGCATACATTATTTGAGATATATTTCAAACTCGGACTTCATTTTAAGGACATGTCGGCCAGGAGTGTAGAGGGAGCTATTTGTTTAAGCACCGGATTGGCAAAACAGGAGAGTAAACCAGTCTGCCTTGATCTATGAATTAATGTCCGGGACTCTCACGGTATCTGCTGCCCGCAGCTGCTTTAGAGAAGGAACACCTCCTTCACTTCATGAAATGGCTGAAGCATCAGGAGGCAGCGGGACGTATACTCGGTAAAGAGCTGTGCCTTTTTACGCACCGCCTTCGCTGTGTTTAACTTAATCAGAACAGTTTAAGAGTGACTGCAGGCTGCTACGTGTTAACCACACACACATCTACACACATCGAACTGCCCGATTACTCCCCCTTTTATTAGTTTTATGAAGGATATGTCCAGTCAGTCACCAAGGCGCATGATGTGTGTGTGTATGTGCTCTGCTCAGCTCAGCTCTGTGTGTTCGGTGTGTTTGTGTCTGTCCGACACCGGCATATGCGGCTGTTCCCAAAATAAATTAGTTTAATCTTAATCTCGATGTAGTGCTATGCTGTCGGGAGGTGCACCGGAACGAACGACACTATCATAATATCTTCTGAAAACAAATGCCAGTGACACACACACACACACACACACACACACACACACACACACACACACACACACACACACACACACACACACACACACACACACACACACACACACACACACACACACACACACACACACACACACACACACACACACACACACACACACACTGGCGACCGGACATCTCCTTCATAATGCGCCTTCTCCTCGTTTTCCCAGCATTCACTGGATTATCCGTAAATCATACAAACAAAACCAAAACGTTGATTTATCTGTTTTCCCGTTTTGGTTTAAAAACTGAATAACGTCGGTTTTTTGGTTTTCCGAAAAACCAAAAAACAACACCGGTTCTTTTTTAAACTTTGTTAATATGTTTTGGATGCATATTGTTCTAGTATTTGTTCAGGCTGTTACATACAATTAGCCTCTGTTGCTACCTGCTGGTGGTGAGTAAATATTAAAATCAGTAAAATTGACAACCGGTCCGCGATTTTTTTTAATGTATCTGCCGGTCCTTGGCACAATAAAGGTGGGAACCCCTGCTGTAGAGCACATGTGTTTAAAAAGCAGGAAATTAAAAAAGGAGCTCACCTTGTGATAAACCTGAGAGAGAAAAAGCATTTGAGCTCCATACTGTTTCAGAAATAATCCTTGACGTGGTTTAAACAGGATGGCGTTTTATCACAACCGAATTTAACTTTATCTCCGGTAGAATTCTGATCAGGCATTAGCTCCGCCTCCTCTTCTTTCTTTTTTTTCAAGCTAAGGACCAAAATCTGCGTTTCTCTAACAGGGCTGCAAAAGAGGGGTTTGAGCAGTATGAGGGATGGCTACAATGGGTGATCTGTTTGGGATTTTGATGTATGTTTTATGGCCCTACAATATATTTTTCAAATATAGCATGATATATCCACTTTAAGATCCATATTCAAACACACAGATTCTAAATGTTACGAGTTGAAGCGTTTTGTTTGAACAGTTTGCAGGAGGCAGGTACTTGCTTTCAAGCAGAACAGGGCTAACAAACTTAGCGGGAGTGTTTACGTGTTCGGCGTAATGACGTACAACGACCCTCCACGACTTCTGTAGTCTTATTCAGCCACTTGGTAACAACCATCGTTTCTCAGACACGTCAACTCTTCAGAATCACCAGTGGGGTCACTGCTGATGGATTTAATGTCGTAGAACAAAACGTGATCCGTCTCTTCAATTTGTGTCAACCACAGACCTTATTTCCAGATATTTTCCAAAACCCTATGGAGAGATCCCATTGGCTCTGAGACGAGGGAACAGGAAGTGGTAAAATGCTGACTCACTTCAGGGTTTTAGGACGCGTCACTGCACCACTCTATGGAGAGCTCTGATGTCAATCTG